TAGGCGTGGATTTTTAAAAAAGAATATTTCTTGAAGGACTATCTGAATTTTATGCGTGGATTTTTAAAGAATATTTCATCAAGGACTATCAGACTTCTAGGCGTGGATTTTTAAAAGAATATTTCTTCAAGCACTAGCAGACTTCTAGGCGTGGATTTATTAAAGATAAACTTGTTAGCAGACTTCTAGGCGTGGATTTATTAAAGATAAACTTGTTAGCAGACTTCTAGGCGTGGATTTTAAGAGAATATTTCTTCAAGGTTTAGCTACAAAATAATGAATATCCGGTTGCCTATTCGGTTTCAATAAATCCTCTATATACAACAATATTCTAAAATATATTTCTGGGTAATATCAAGTTCTTGACCACAACAGCGCAACTCATCCCATATCTAACCAAAAAAAAAAGTCCATTAAAATCTTTAAAATTTCTATCCCGTGGAGCAGGACCTTAAAATTTTAGTCAAAAAAATTCTATTAAAATCAAATGTAGGTCTTCATAAAATTGCTAAAAAATGCAATGATAAAAACTTTAATTATGTCTTTAATTTTTTTTAAAAATAAGATAGCCTTTAAACAATTCTGTTAAAATCATCGCCTATGGCCTTTAAACAATTTTATAAAAATCAACGCCTATGAACCTTATGACGACCATTAAAAAATTCTATAAAAATCAACGCCTATAGACCTTAAGTTGGTCTTGAAAAATTCTTTAACTATCCACGCCTATGTCTGGAAAGATGGCCTTAAACAACCTTAAGATGACCTTTAAAAAAATTCTATAAAAATCAACGCCGAATTTTTAAAGAAATTTGTCTTGAAAAATTCGTTAAAAATCCAAGCCTATCTCTGGAAAGATGGCCTTAAAAATCAAAATAGTTTTTAAAATTTTCTTTAAAAACCAACGTCTATATGCTTGGAAGATGGTCTTTAAAAATTTCTTAAAATATGCAAGACTAGGGCTGGGAAGGTGATCTTAAAAAAATATTAAAAATCTACGGCTATGACTAAGAAGATGGTCTTGAAAAAGTTCTTTAAAAATATACGTCTATGGTTGAGAAGATGGTCTTTAAAAATTTACGTCTAGGGACCTTAAGATGTTCTTAAACATTTTTTTTAAAAATACGCGGCTATGGACCTTTAGATGGTCTTTAAAAAATTCTTTAAAATTCACGCCAATGGACCTTGAGATGGCCGCTAAGGACTACCAGATGGTCAATTGACAAATTCTTTTAAAATTAACGACTTGTTGATAACATGGGTCAAGAAAAATAATCAAAATAATGCAAAATATCTTTAAAAAATCCATGACCATGATTAAGACTTTTAAAAAAATTCCAATCATCTTTCTCTCAGATGAACTCAATGAAGACTGCTATTGGCTCTTTTTAAACGCCGTTCTTCCACAAAATTTCTGATCTACCCCACGCATTCTGTTCTTCAAAGTCCCAATTGAGCAAAGTCTCCATAAGAAGAAAAAGGTCACTTTGAGATATGAATGAAAAAAGTAAACCATAATAGAAGACATTTAAAAATACTTTGGAGAAAATATTCTTTAAAAAATCCACGCCTAAGGCTTTAGTGGTCCTTTGGGGAAAATATTCTTTAAAAAATCCACGCCTAAGGCTTTGGTGGTCCTTTGGAGAAAATATTCATTAAAAAATCCACGCCTAAGGCTTTGGTGGTCCTTTGGAGAAAATATTCTTTAAAAAATCCACGCCTAAGGCTTTGGTGGTCCTTTGGAGAAAATATTCTTTAAAAAATCCACGCCTAAGGCTTTAGTGGTCCTTCGAGAAAATATTCTTTAAAAAATCCACGCCTAAGGCTTTGGTGGTCCTTTGGAGAAAATATTCATTAAAAAATCCACGCCTAAGGCTTTGGTGGTCCTTTGGAGAAAATATTCTTTAAAAAATCCACGCCTAAGGCTTTGGTGGTCCTTTGGAGAAAATATTCTTTAAAAAATCCACGCCTAAGGCTTTAGTGGTCCTTCGAGAAAATATTCTTTAAAAATCCACGACTAAGGCTCTGTTGGTCTTCATAAAAAATATTCTTTAAAAATCCACGACTAAGGCTCTGTTGGTCTTCATAAAAAATATTCTTTAAAAATCCACGACTAAGGCTCTGTTGGTCTTCATAAAAAATATTCTTTAAAAATCCACGCCTAAGGCTTTGGTGGTCCTTCGAGAAAATATTCTTTAAAAATCCACGACTAAGGCTCTGTTGGTCTTGATAAAAAATATTCTTTAAAAATCCACGACTAAGGCTCTGTTGGTCTTGATAAAAAATATTCTTTAAAAATCCACGACTAAGGCTCTGTTGGTCTTGATAAAAAATATTCTTTAAAAATCCACGACTAAGGCTCTGTTGGTCTTGATAAAAAATATTCTTTAAAAATCCACGACTAAGGCCTTTGAGAAAAATATTCTTTAAAAATCCACGTATATGGCTTTGAAAAAAAATATTCTTTAAAAATCCACGCCTAAGGCCTTTGAAGAAAATATTCTTTAAAAATCCACGCCTAAGGCCTTTGGGAAAAATATTCTTTAAAAATCCACGCCTAAGGCCTTTGGGAAAAATATTCTTTAAAAATCCACGCCTAAGGCCTTTGGGAAAAATATTCTTTATAAATCCACGCATAAGGCTTTGGTGGTCCTTCGAGAAAATATTCTTTAAAAATCCACGACTAAGGCTCTGTTGGTCTTGATAAAAAATATTCTTTAAAAATCCACGCATAAGGCTTTGGTGGTCCTTCGAGAAAATATTCTTTAAAAATCCACGACTAAGGCTCTGTTGGTCTTGATAAAAAATATTCTTTAAAAATCCACGCATAAGGCTTTGGTGGTCCTTCGAGAAAATATTCTTTAAAAATCCACGACTAAGGCTCTGTTGGTCTTGATAAAAAATATTCTTTAAAAATCCACGACTAAGGCTCTGTTGGTCTTGATAAAAAATATTCTTTAAAAATCCACGACTAAGGCTCTGTTGGTCTTGATAAAAAATATTCTTTAAAAATCCACGACTAAGGCTCTGTTGGTCTTGATAAAAAATATTCTTTAAAAATCCACGACTAAGGCTCTGTTGGTCTTGATAAAAAATATTCTTTAAAAATCCACGACTAAGGCTCTGTTGGTCTTGATAAAAAATATTCTTTAAAAATCCACGACTAAGGCTCTGTTGGTCTTGATAAAAAATATTCTTTAAAAATCCACGACTAAGGCTCTGTTGGTCTTGATAAAAAATATTCTTTAAAAATCCACGACTAAGGCCTTTGAGAAAAATATTCTTTAAAAATCCACGCCTAAGGCCTTTGAGAAAAATATTCTTTAAAAATCCACGCCTAAGGCCTTTGGGAAAAATATTCTTTAAAAATCCACGCCTAAGGCCTTTGGGAAAAATATTCTTTAAAAATCCACGCCTAAGGCCTTTGGGAAAAATATTCTTTAAAAATCCACGCCTAAGGCCTTTGGGAAAAATATTCTTTAAAAATCCACGCCTGGTCCTTAGAGAAAATATTCTTAAAAAATCCACGCCTAAGGCTTTGGTGGTCCTTCGAGAAAATATTCTTTAAAAACCCAGGCCTGGTCCTTAGAGAAAATATTCTTAAAAAATCCACGCCTAAGGCTTTGGTGGTCCTTCGAGAAAATATTCTTTAAAAACCCACGCCTGGTCCTTAGAGAAAATATTCTTAAAAAATCCATGCCTAAGGCTTTGGTGGTCCTTCGAGAAAATATTCTTTAAAAAATCCACGCCTAAGGCTTTGGTGGTCCTTCGAGAAAATATTCTTTAAAAAATCCACGCCTAAGGCTTTGGTGGTCCTTCGAGAAAATATTCGTTAAAAAATCCACGCCTAAGGCTTTTGTGGTCCTTCGAGAAAATATTCTTAAAAAAATCCACGCCTAAGGCTTTGGTGGTCCTTCGAGAAAATATTCTTAAAAAAATCCACGCCTAAGGCTTTGGTGGTCCTTCGAGAAAACATTCTTTAAAAATCCACGCCTAAGGCTTTGGTGGTCCTTCGAGAAAATATTCTTTAAAAAATCCACGACTAAGGCTTTGGTGGTCCTTCGAGAAAATATTCTTTAAAAAATCCACGCCTAAGGCTTTGGTGGTCCTTCGAGAAAATATTCTTTAAATCAGCCACGCCTAAGGTTTTGGCGGTCCTTCGAGAAAATATTCTTTAAAAAATTCACCCCTAAGGCCTTGGTGGTCCTTCGAGAAAATATTCTTTAAAAATCCACGCCTAAGGCTTTGCTGGTCTTTTCGGAAAATATTCTTTAAAAATCCAGACCTAAGGGTTTGGTGGTCCTTCGAAAAAATATTCTTTAAAAATCCAGACCTAAGGGTTTGGTGGTCCTTCGAGAAAATATTCTTTAAAAATCCACGCCTAAGGCTTTGCTGGTCTTTTCGGAAAATATTCTTTAAAAATCCAGGCCTAAGGGTTTGGTGGTCCTTCGAGAAAATATTCTTTAAAAATCCACGCCTAAGGCCTTGGTGGTCTTTCGAGAAAATATTCTTTAAAAATCCACGCCTAAGGCCTTGGTGGTCTTTCGAGAAAAAAATTCTTTAAAAATCCACGCCTAAGGCTTTGGTGATCCTTCGAGAAAATATTCTTTAAAAATCTACGCCTAAGGCTTTGCTGGTCTTTTGGAAAAATATTCTTTAAAAATCCACGCCTAAGGCTTTGCTGGTTTTTTGGGAAAATATTCTTTAAAAATCCACGCCTAAGGCTTTGCTGTTTTTTTGGGAAAATATTCTTTAAAAATCCACGCCTAAGACTTTGCTGGTCTTTTGGGAAAATATTCTTTAAAAAATCCACGCCTAAGGTTCTGCTGGTCCTTTGGAAAAATATTCTTTAAAAAATCCACGCCTAAGGTTCTGCTGGTCCATTGGAAAATTTTCTTTAAAAATCCACGCCTAAGACTCTGCTGGATCTTGGAAAAATCTTCTTCAAAAATCAACCCTAAAGCTTTGATTTTGAAAAATTATTTTACTTTTTATTCCAGAAAACAACATCCCCATGTTGCTGCGGTGTGTTCACGCAACATGCGTACCTTCCGCATTATGACCGTTCTCCTGAGTTGCCTAATATCCATGTATTGTGTCCTGCCATTGGTGGTATTATTTTTTGATGTTGGTCTAGATGCCGATGAAAAACCTTTCCCCTATAAAATGTTATTTCCCTACGATGCCCATCATGGTTGGCGTTATGTTGTCACATATATATTTACAAGCTATGCCGGAATATGTGTGGTAACAACACTCTTTGCAGAAGATTCAATTTTCGGATTTTTTGTCACCTATACATGTGGTAAATTTCAAATACTACATGAACGTATTGATAATTTGGTATTGGATGCCTATGAAAGGGTGAGAAATAAGGAGGATGCAATGGATATACAGGATACCTATGTGAAGCTATTAAATCGCATAGCTTATGATCATAATAAATTAATTGAGTAAGTTAACTCGATAATTTGATGTTTGCTACGATTTAATATTAAATCATTTTTTTTAGATTTGCAGCAAAATTGGAGAATTTCTTCAATCCCATTCTCTTGGTGAATTTTACAATATCCTCTATTTTGATATGCATGGTGGGATTTCAATTGGTCACGGGCAAGGATATGTTTATAGGCGACTATGTTAAATTCTTTGTGTATATGTCATCTTCCCTGTCACAGCTGTATGTTTTATGCTGGAATGGGGATTCTCTTATACAACATGTGAGTTTAATGTATACAAATAATTATTATTAAATTACATATATAAAATAATAATCTTTATAGTCCCTAGAGACCGCAAATCATTTGTACGTATGCAACTGGGAAGGTGGACAAATACGACCTACATCCTCTATAATTCGTCATCAATTTGTGAAAGAAAAATCCCATAAAGAAACTCTACAATTATCCGAACAGCTATTTAAAAGGGGTCTACAAAATAAGGAAATAAAAAGGATTCAAGACACATATTATATTCCTGCAAACAAGAAGTTTCGTCAAAATCTGGAAATAATGATAATGTGCAGCCAGAGGCCAGTGAAAATAACAGCCCTTAAATTCTCTACGTTATCCTTGCAATCATTTACCGCCATATTAAGTACATCGATGAGTTATTTTACTCTCTTGAAAACGGTATATGATGAAAATCAGGAGGATGGTGCAACAAATTAAATAAAAAATATATTTATCAATTTATTATTCTATATACATATATAGTAGGTAATATACAAGTGATTAGTAGTAACAACAATTTACATACAGTTTTATCTAGAGAACAGTTTTTTTTTTCGAATAGCAACATTAGTATCAACATCAGTTTCACAATTGTAGAAGATCTATAGTTTTTTTGTATTCACTTATAATGGTGTGGCAGTTTCCTCTTTGGCTTCGGTCAGAGCACGAGCTTGGTGTGTAAAAACGGGTACATTTATACCCTGTTTTTACACAAAAGAAATAAATTCATTATAAATAAAGGTGTTAGTAAAAATAAAAAATGAAATGTCCTACCTGCATTTTAGCTGATCTAATGAAGGCCTTATTGGAGGTTACCGTTACCGCTTTCATATCCATGCCAAAGGCAAAAATCAATAAACTTCGTTCATTAATTTTACCACTAAATTTAATGCTGGCAATTTCGGGTGGTATTGAGGTGACATCTGGTAAGATTTCAATACGTTTAGTTAGCTCGTCGGCTCTTCGTTTTTCTTCGGCACCACCAAGTAGTGCAACTATGTCTTGAAACGATTTATGGGCAGTGGTACAGCAAATAAGGCGTTTTCCTGAAAAATGGAATAGAAGAAAATATTAAAAAAATATATTTTAGTAACATATTTTTAAACATATTATTTCAAAATCGTGGATTGCGATGAAGAATTATCGGGAGAGAAGGAGAGAGGAGAAACGTATTTTCAGGAAAAAAAAATAAAGAACAAGAAAATCGAGATGTACAGGAATCAGAATGAAGTCTGAAAATTCTACCATCGGGTAAAACACCAAACCGAAGGCTTTGGTGCAGGCACATCCTCCTGTAGAGATAAAGAAGGAAACCTGGTGACAGATGCAGACAGCGTAATGGAAGGAGCATTTTGAAATGCTTCTGGTATCAAAGAGTGGCGGTGAAGAAGATACCCCAGAACCAATAAGAGATGATGGTATAGAAAGGTAAGGAGCATACAGAATGCATGCCCAATGATTGGAACCTCAGCATCCTGTGTCCCGTGCACAAAAAAGGAGACAAGACGATATGTGCCAACTATAGAGGAATAAGTCTCCTTGACATCGTAATTTAAATTTATATCCAGCGTGCTGTGTGAACGACTGAAGCCAATGGTCAATAACATTATTGAACCATACCAATGTAGCTTCAGGCCTGGCAAATCCACCATTGACCAGATTTTCAATCTGCACCAGATCCAGATTCCACCTTTTCGTCGACTAAAAGGGAGCCTCTAGATCAAGTTGCCTATCGAGCAGGTCTGAATGGCATTCATACAGATGCAGTAGCCGCGGCGCTGAACGGATACAAAGTGAATGCCGTCCTTCGGCTATGCAGGATAACTTTAACAGGCACAAGATCAGCAATTAAAGTTGGAAAGGACCTCTTGGAGACCTTTAATACCGAACGAGGATTCAGACAAGGTGATAGTTTGTCGTGTGACCTTTTTAACATACTGCTGGAAAAGGCCATACGAGAGGCAAAAGTGAACAGAAATGACACTCTGTACACCAACAACATATGTTACTCGCCTACGCCAATTACATCGGCATAATGGGTCGAATATTTGTGAGTGGTAAAAGCCACCTTTGAAGGAATTGAGAAGGAGTCTGCCAAACTGGGACTGGCAGTAAATGGCGAAAAGACCAAGCTGAAATTGGAAAAAAAAACTAAGAAAAAGACCAACGCGCATAGAAATCTTTTCTAAGCTCGGCTTATGGAACAACCGTTCTGTCATAAGCCAGCTATGTAAGTATTTTTTTATAAATCTTCATTTATTTTCAGACCTACTTACCCGAAAACAATTTATCTAAAATAGGTTTCAAAGGTGACTCCCGCTCCTTTTCAGCTTGTTCAGTTAAAATCGGTTCTTGAAATTTCCAATTGCAGCTGCCATTACAAACATTACTCACATATGCCAATAACGTTGTTATATCCAGATTTAAAATACTAATATTACTAATATCGGAATTTTTATCCACCTCCGATGGTTTTTCCAACGAGGCTATTTCAACACCTTCCGCCTCCAGGGCCATGGTTAATTCGTTTTCAATTGGATGACTGAAATAGAAAACCACCTGTAGATATAGAAGCAATTACTAATCAAAATAAAAAATCCTGTCTATAAATAACCAAAACCCCTACCTTTGGACATTTAAACATGCAGAGATTTTGTGATGAGGCCTCCACAAATTCTTGAGCCTGATCGATTATGCTGCGTGCCCCAAAGCTCGCCTCGCCACGAGCAGCATCTGTTAACGACTTTGAATTTCGGGCAATGGCTATTCAAATATTATGAAATTAATACAAAAATAAAATGGGGAATTTTTCAAAACATACCCTTAATCCATTTCAAACCATTCTCACAAACAATATCCACTCGTAGTGGATTCTCCCGATAGTCCACCGGAAAACCACAATCGACATGTACCACATCCCGTTGTTGTTGTAGTATCTTAACCAAAAACTCATAATGCGTCAGATTGCTGCATTGAACATGATTAATTTTTAAGGTTTTATTTTTGATAACCTTGAAGGAACAGAACAGAATTAAATTCAAAACTGGTTTCAAAGTTAAATATGGGCATTTGAAATTTACCTTTTGCAAAAATTTAATTTCTTGTACAATTTTTCTTTGCACCTTTTGCACGCCTGGTATTTCGGTGAATTCATCTAGAATTTTTATTAACACCTGACCCAGTTCCACCTTATCTTCAGCCTTTTGTAGGAGATCATCTTCATAAGGTAATTCGGGTTCCATGATTTGCAAAATAATAAATTATTTTTACTTGAAGATTTCAGTTTCGCAAAGTGAAATTTAAGAAAATGACTGTTAAAGGCAAATATTTCAATGTTTAGAATGAGAACAAAGCGTAATCGCAAAGTTTAGAATGTGATAATGGGGTAATGAGAAGAATGCTTCTTCTTGTTTTCATAGTAAGTGCCTTAAATGAGTTACACTCAACAGCTGTCTTTAAGAGTCATTGCTATTCACAGTGAAATGATAACATCATAACTACAGTCTTAGGCAAAAGCATTTGGAAATCTTAATGAGTGGATTAAAAAATAAAAATATATTTTTCAAGGGCCAACAAGGAATGAATTTCTTAAAGAATATTTTCTGAAGGACCAACAAGGCGTGGATTTCTCAAAAATAATACTTTTCAAGGTCTATGAAGGCATGGATTTTGTAAAGAAAATTTTTAAAGGTCTATGAAGGTGTGGATTTTGTAAAGAAAATTTTTAAGGTCTACGAAGGCGTGGATTTTGTAAAAAATATTTTTTAAGGTCTACGAAGGCGTGGATTTTGTAAAGAATATTTTGTTAAGGTCTACGAAGGCGTGGATTTTGTAAAAAATATTTTTTTAAGGTCTACGAAGGCGTGGATTTTGTAAAAAATGTTTTTCAAGGTCTACGAAAGCGTGGATTTTGTAAAAAATATTTTTTTTAAGATCTACGAAGGCGTGGATTTTGTAAAAAATATTGTTTAAGGTCTACGAAGGCGTGGATTTTGTAAAAATATTTTTTAAGGTCTATGAATGCGTGGATTTTGTAAAAAATATTTTTTAAGGTCTACGAAGGCGTGGATTTTGTAAAAATTATTTTTTAAGGTCTACGAAGGCGTGGATTTAGTAAAAAATATTTTTTAAGGTCTACGAAGGCATTGATTTTGTAAAAAAAATGTCCAAGTACTAGATTTTTTAAACTATCCTAAGGTTGCGATATTATCAAAATGTTTCAAAGATCTAAATGTCCGACATAATTTGGAGTATAAAGAATGGAGATCTGGATCAAGTCCAGTCATGCGTAGCTGAAAAGAGTTCTATTGTGAATGCGGAATACAATGGAAGATATCCAATGCATTATACTGCAGACTATGGTCAGCATGAAGTACTAGAATATCTTATTGCAATGGGTGCTCATTTAGATGTAAAAGATAAACACGGCATTACACCGCTTTTTGCTGCAATTTGGGAAGGACATACAAAATGTGTAAAATTACTTCTAGAAAAGCGTGCAGACAAAAATGGAAAAACTCCTGATGGAAAAAGTTATGTAGAAGCTGCAGAAAAGGATGAAATTCGAAACCTACTACGCTGAGCACCGCTATATAGACAATATATAATTTATTTTAATGCAGAAACATTAATGAAAAAATATGACTAAACTTTAATTTTCCAATCCAATATTATATGCAGAATTTATATGAACGAGCTAATATATTTACACAATCTTACATTTTGTGTAAATAACCATTTGCATTTGTAATAAGTTAGCTCTTTCACATTTCTTTTTAATAAAAATACAAATTATTTAAAATTGAAAAAAATAAGAAGAAACTACAGTTGATTACAAAATATCATATATTTGTTTTTATTATTTCCAAATTAATATCTTAAATATTCCATATTTAAGAATACAGTTTCAAATTAGTGTGTTGTTGTGTTTGTGTGTCCATTACATTTTTTTGCTTTATTTTTTTCACATCATATTCGAAGAAATTAGGAAAAATGAATGAAATACCAACTTTAAATCTTAGCCACTGGTTTCAGACCCAATATAAAGAAGCATTTCCTTAATACAGCAGCTGTGGCTTCACAAAGTAAAATACGGCTACGATTAACTTTGACAATCTGCCCCTCCTTATTCTTTTCTATGCAATAACAATTATCATAGAATTCCGAAAATACCGTTGATACTTCGTAGCAGTATTCACACAAAATATGTAACAGCAAATCTTTGGAGATTTTCACCAAGATGTCGGGGAATTTAAGTAAAGTCTTGGCCAATTTCCATTCCTTTTCGTGTTCCAATTCGATGTTGGTCGTCTCTAGCACCTTGGCCAAATCGGAGAAGTCTTCACCACTATTACGTGAAATCGAACAAATACGGGTAAATGCATATAACAGATAAACGGCAGTATTGCCACGATCTTCCAACATTTTGTCGAAAGAGAAGACATACTCGTTGGTGCGATTATGACTTAAATCGGCATATTTAATACAACCATAGGCAACCGATTCCTGGGCAGCCTTCAATTCTTCCGGTGTCAAAACCTTATCACGTTCCTTTTCAATCAATTTGTCTAATGAACGTTTCAAACCTTCATCCAACAAATCGGACAGCTTAACGGTTTCGCCTGACCGGGTTTTGAATTTCTTACCATCCTCGCCCAAGACAACACCGAACTGAACATGTTCAGCCTTATGTTTGGCGGGATTTAAAATACCACAACGTTCAGCGGCTAGATAAATATTTTTCAAATGAGTATTTTGTCCGGCATCAACAACATAAATTAACCAATCACATTTCTGTTCTTCGAGACGATAACGTATGGCAGCCATATCGGAGGTGTCATAAGTAAAACCACCATCAGATTTTACAACAGTCAGTGGTATACCAGTCTTTTCATCAGTGGGCCACATTATTTTACGTCCCTCATCTAATTCCAAGAGATTTTTCGATTCCAAATATTTAACTACCTCTATCATGCACGACTGATAGAAAGATTCACCCTTTTCGGTGAGGGTAATATCCAAGCGATCATAGATCTTTTGGAATTCAAGACGAGAAACATCGCAAATTAATTTCCAGGCTTTTGTGGAGTTGGGTTCGCCACTTTGTAGTTGAACTACACGGTTGTAGGCACGCTTCTTAAATTCTTCATCTTCATCGAATCTGAAAAAACAACATTTTAGTGAATATTTTATAATGAAATGAAAAATGAAATTTTAAAACATCTTTACAAATCCCTATAGGAGGTGATGCAAATGTGGTATACCCATTTGTTTTTAGATCGTCAAATTTTTATTTTATATCCGATTAAATTGAAAATTTACACTTAACATGCTACATGTGTTGTCTTTCCATGTATCAATTTGAAAATAATATTATTCTAACAATTTAAGAGATATTTGAGAAAATATTTGAAATCCCATAAAAAGTGATTTTAAAAAAAGTGCAGGTAATGTGGTATACCACATGATGTTAATGTGGTATAGTATAATTTTCACTTCCAATTGATATCTTATATAATTTATTGTTTTTATTGAATGCGAATTAGCTCGAGATTTATGTCTGTTAAGATTTTTAACGGATACGTTGAGTGCAACTTTAATTTTTATTATATAATAATGTCTACACATGGCAATATTTAATTTTTGTATGGAGAAGTTGTTAAAACTCATAGCCTTTGTTTTTCATCCTTGTGATTCATGGTAGACTCTCGTAGAGTACAAATGTTTCACATAGTAATGATATTTTGTCTAGTGCTGGCCTTTTTTCATGCAGAATCAAGGTATACCACATTACCTACACTTGTGTTTATTGAAGAAATGTCTAGTTTTTTTTCCAAATTGGTGATTATGTGGTGCAATCGCGCATATTATTTGATTTTTAGTTCATACTGATTATTTTAATGCTTTAGTAATAACGATTAAAGTACATCCGTAAAACAAAAAATTATTTTTAAACTTCAACCGAAAAAAATTCAATTTCATGAAAAATTTTATTTTTGGTACTGATTCTCAACGTGATTTAAATAAATTAAACAGGTCATTGCTATCTTATTTTTTTGAGAACAGCAAACTATAGAACATGTTTCAGTTATTCTAAAATTTTCAGTTTACAAAAAAAGTGACTATACCACATTACCAACCTATACCACATTTGCATCACTTCCACTATCTATGACTCTGAAAGTCTTTGGAAAAATATATTTTAAAATACCCTAAGGCTCTGAAAGTCTTTGGAAAAATGTTTTTTAAAAATCCCCGCCTAAGGCTTTGAAAGTCTTTGGAAAAATAACCTATAAAAATCCACGCCCAAGGCCCTGAAAGACTTTGGAAAAATAATATTTAAAAATCCACGCCTATGACTCTGAAATTCTTTGGAAAAATTTGTTTTAAAAATCCCCGCCTATGGCTCTGAAAGTCTTTGGAAAAATAACCTATAAAAATCCACGCCCAAGGCCCTGAAAGACTTTGGAAAAATTTGTTTTAAAAATCCCCGCCTATGGCTCTGAAAGTCTTTGGAAAAATAATATTTAAAAATCCACGCCTATGACTCTGAAATTCTTTGAAAAAATGTTTTTTTTTTTTAAATCCCCGCCTATAGCTCTGAAAGTATTTGGAAAAACTTTCTTTAAAAATCCACGCCTATGATTCTGAAATTCTTTGGAAAAACTTTCTTTAAAAATCTACGCCTATGATTCTGAAATTCTTTGGAAAAACTTTCTTTAAAAATCTACGCCTATGATTCTGAAATTCTTTGGAAAAATATTCTTTAAAAATCCACGCCTATGGCTCTGAAAGTCTTTAGAAAAATATTCTTTAAAAATCCACGCCGATGGCTCTAAATTCTTTGGAAAAATAATCTTTAAAAATCAACGCCCATGGCCCTGAAAGACTTTGGAAAAAAATTTCTTTAAAAATCCACGCCTATGACCCTGAAAGACTTTGGAAAAATATTCTTTAAAAATCCACGCCTATGGCTCTGAAAGTCTTTGGAAAAATATTCTTTAAAAATCCACGCCTATGACCCTGAAAGACTTTGGAAAAATATTCTTTAAAAATCCACGCCTATGGCTCTGTAAGTCTTTGGAAAAATATTCTTTAAAAATTCACGCCTATGGCTCTCAAAGTCTTTGGAAAAATATTGTTTAGAAATCTACGCCTATGGCTCTGAAAATCTTTGGAAAAACATTCTTTAAAAATCAACGCCTATGGCTCTGAAAGTCTTTGGAAAAATATTCTTTAAAAATCCACGCCTATGGCTCTAAAAGTCTTTGGAAAAATATTCTTCAAAACCCCCACGCCTAAGGATCTGAAAGTCTTTAGAAAAAAGTTTCTTTAAAAATCCACTCCTGTGACTCTGAAATTCCTTTAAATATACTCTTTAAAAACCAACCATTATTACTCAAGGTTTCCACCTACCTCTTCTTAGATTCTTTGTAGAATGCTTGTAAATCTCCAATTGGTGGACTTTCATTTAAGAAATTCGGGAATCTATCTTCCAAGTGGGCAATCAACATACCGAATTGCGTACCCCAATCACCAACATGATTGATGCGCAGCACATCATGGCCCAAAAATTCCAAAAGACGTGAAATTGATTCACCAATAATGGTCGAACGCAAATGACCAACATGCATTTGCTTGGCAATATTGGGTGAGGAGAAATCCACCAGAACTCGTTGTTTCTTCACATGGGGTGCTTTGACACCAGATTTTAACATATTTGTCAAGGCATCCACAGCATAAGATCTGTAATAATAAAAAAATAAAACAATTTAGAAAAAAATTGTGATTGAATTCAGCTCCCATGTTCAACTTACTTCTTTAGAAATACATTAATAAAACCAGCACCGGCAACTTCAAGTTTTTCCACCAAAGGTGATGGCTGGCAATGCTTCAGGATTTCATTGGCAATATCACGAGGAGGTTTATTAACTCCACTGGCCTTCAGGGTCTTGGCCAAGGACATTGCACTATTACATTGATAATCACCAAATTTGGCGGCATTTGAATTTACCGGCGAAATTATTGCTGCAGTTCCGGCAAGCTGGGGGAAGGCCTTGGCAATGGCGTTTGTAAACAAATCCAACAGGTGATCACTAATTGAAATCATGGTATTGATTTCGGCTGGTATTTCGGCGGGTGTAAATGCTTTACTTGCTGCAACACTTGTTGTTGTAGTGGATGTTTTGCCACCACTACTGCCCTTTTCAACTTCAATGGCCTAGATTTCAATTTCAATAATTTAATATTTTAATTACATGATTTTACATCCATCTTACATTCTTTAAAATCGCCAAACGATGTTTCAACTTGCTATTCTCCAATTGCAGCTTTGTTAGCTCTTCATCATCTTCTTCCAATCCAACACCTTTTTTGGTCTCTTCGATTTTGGCCCTCAGCTCAGCTGTGAGACGTTCCTTGAGAAATGACACATTCATTACTATAGCAGATTTATTTGTTTTTGTGATGTTTATTTATATGTTCCTGGTATTACTTACCAACTCCTGTAAGTTGTCTATTTCCCTTTTCAAACTAGCCATTCTGTATTTCACAAATTATGACTAAAATTCCAAGCAAATATTGAAATAATGGTCAATAGAAAGAACACTGCCACATGTAAGCCGAAAGGTAAATTTGTCATATGCTTCTTTTTCTTTTTGCCCGGGGGTCGTCATGCAAATCGGTGTGATAACACAAACTAAGAGAAATGACCGTAACCGTCATTTTGCGAAGCGAAAACGAACCTACGGAAAGGTTTTGATACGGAATGGTTTTGATTAATATAATTAAATATGGTTTGGCGTGGATTTTTAAATACTTTTTAAGGACTTTCACAGCTATAGGTGTGGATCTTTAAATAATATTTTTCCAAAGACTTTCACAGCTATAGGCGTGGATTTTTAAAGAATATTTTTCTCAAGACTTTCAGAGCCATAGACGTAATTTTTTTTTTATTTTTATTTGTTCTTTATTTTGTATTGAAAAGCCATTCGGCCTTTTAAAGAATAATTTTCCAAAGGCTTTCACAGCTATAGGGATTTTTAAAGTATATTTTTCTAAAAACTTTCACAGCTATAGGCGTGGATTTTAAAAGAATACTTTTCCAAAAATCATTAGGCATGAATTTTCAATTTCATACTTTTCCAAAAATCATTAGGCATGGATTTTCAAAGAATACTTTTCCAAAAATCATTAGGCATGAATTTTCAATGAATACTTTTCCAAAAATCATTAGGTATGCATTTTCAATGAATACTTTTCCAAAGATCTTCATGCGATGAATTGAATACGTGGATCTTTAAAAAATATTTTTCCGAAGACTTTCACAGCTATAGGCATGGATTTTTAAAGAATATTTTTCCGAAGATTTTCAGAGCCATAGACGTAGATTTTTAAAGAATATTTTTCCAAAGACTTTCACAGCTATAGACCGGGATTTTTAAAGAATACTTTTCCAAAAATCATTAGGCATTGATTTTCAATGAATACTTTTCCAAAGATCTTCAGGCTATGAATAGAATAATTTTGAAAAGACCTTAAGTCGTGGATTTTCTAAGAATACTTTTCCGAAAATCTTCAGGCATGGATTTTCAAAGAATTATTTTCCTGTCGCACAACTCCAGTTTCTAGTTTAATCAAGAATCACCATGAAGATGCGCCCATTCACTTCATCCATTTCTGAGCTAGCTGGGCTTAAACCAGTTATATCGTAACAAAATGGCGCCCAACATGGGGCAATGACCCACGACCTTGTGATTAAATTGGGAGATGCTTACATGTTAAGATGGCTTTGAGGATCGTAGAATGATATAGATATAGCTGTGTTCCCAAACCTGCAATATAGTACTATATTGTACTAGTTTTGCAATTTTTGCTAGAAAAGCGTTTCCTTACGCCGAAAAGTAGGAAAAATTGAAGTTAAATTTAAGAGAGTTAAAATCAAAATGGCGTTCTCTTCTTCTATTTTCTGCAACACCAATTTGGCCTAGCACGAAATAGTAAATGTAGTAAATTATAAATTTGACATTTGATTGCCAGAGATATACAGTCCGAAATAAAGCATATGAAAGTTAGCGCTTCAACATAAGGGACACACGCACAGACGCACACACATTTGCTTGAAAACAAAAACAAATAAGAAATTTAAAAATGGGCAAACAGATTTTTTATTCTCTTTTGGAGGATAGGGAAGATGATTGGCTGGCAGAAGATTCAGATGAAGATACTATTGAATGGGTTGGTTAATCGTACTAACTAGATAAAGAATATATCATCAAAATGTAAATAAAATCTAAAAAAAGAATTTGGAATGCGTAGCCATGTATGCGCCTGTCCATATGTGAAAGTGTTATTCTTAAGTTCTCTTAAAAAGTACCAGATATAACCTTTTAATGATACCCATATTGCCTTGGTGGCAATAGAAAAAGGGTTGTTTAAACAAAATATGTTCCGAAATTTCAAGGCCAATATCTCGGGAAGTATGCATTTACCCACGTGAAATGTATATAACAGTAATCAGCACAAGGAGGGCTACTGACGGAAATCATTTCAAAATGATCCGAGTATTCTTGTTTTTCTAGTTCGCTAAAACATTCCAATCATAATATCAAATTTCAATAGCATTAACATTATGGGAGCGTAAAACCATGAAAGCCTTTCCGGGCTTGGAGTCGTCGGAAACTCCACTTCCAAATATTCGATAATGTTTTCCTCTAAATTATACAAATAAAAAATAAACAATAAATATTAATATTATCAAAATCACGCAATGGACGCCGTTTAACTTTCTGTTTTTTTTTTTTTGCATTAGGTTTCTGTAGTCTTTTTTTGTCCTTAACAAATGAAATTTTTGATTTTGACGTCTCTTAATGTTTCTACTATTTTTCGTTCCTTTACTTTTTGCGCAAATCTTGTATGTGAGGGTAATTTTTAATAGTTCGCTCTTTTACTAGCTTTACAGTTTATGGCGTATAGACTATGATTTCTATGCTCTTTATCACGATAAAATCTATAGTCTAAAAGCGCCTTTATTCACCAAAGATATTTTACAATTGGCCTGTTCCGGTACTGCAAGAATATGCTAGTTTTTAATATTTTGTTCGATATCATAAAGGAAAATTTGTTGACGTAGTAAAAAGTAGTAAATTCTTGTAGTACGGAACAAGCCATGGCCTATAAGCTGAGCTAGCTGGGCTTAAACCAGTTATATCGTAACAAAATGGCGCCCAACATGGGGCAATGACCCACGACCTTGTGATTAAATTGGGAGATGCTTACATGTTAAGATGGCTTTGAGGATCGTAGAATGATATAGATATAGCTGTGTTCCCAAACCTGCAATATAGTACTATATTGTACTAGTTTTGCAATTTTTGCTAGAAAAGCGTTTCCTTACGCCGAAAAGTAGGAAAAATTGAAGTTAAATTTAAGAGAGTTAAAATCAAAATGGCGTTCTCTTCTCCTATTTTCTGCAACACCAATTTGGCCTAGCACGAAATAGTAAATGTAGTAAATTATAAATTTGACATTTGATTGCCAGAGATATACAGTCCGAAATAAAGCATATGAAAGTTAGCGCTTCAACATAAGGGACACACGCACAGACGCACACACATTTGCTTGAAAACAAAAACAAATAAGAAATTTAAAAATGGGCAAACAGATTTTTTATTCTCTTTTGGAGGATAGGGAAGATGATTGGCTGGCAGAAGATTCAGATGAAGATACTATTGAATGGGTTGGTTAATCGTACTAACTAGATAAAGAATATATCATCAAAATGTAAATAAAATCTAAAAAAAGAATTTGGAATGCGTAGCCATGTATGCGCCTGTCCATATGTGAAAGTGTTATTCTTAAGTTCTCTTAAAAAGTACCAGATATAACCTTTTAATGATACCCATATTGCCTTGGTGGCAATAGAAAAAGGGTTGTTTAAACAAAATATGTTCCGAAATTTCAAGGCCAATATCTCGGGAAGTATGCATTTACCCACGTGAAATGTATATAACAGTAATCAGCACAAGGAGGGCTACTGACGGAAATCATTTCAAAATGATCCGAGTATTCTTGTTTTTCTAGTTCGCTAAAACATTCCAATCATAATATCAAATTTCAATAGCATTAACATTATGGGAGCGTAAAACCATGAAAGCCTTTCCGGGCTTGGAGTCGTCGGAAACTCCACTTCCAAATATTCGATAATGTTTTCCTCTAAATTATACAAATAAAAAATAAACAATAAATATTAATATTATCAAAATCACGCAATGGACGCCGTTTAACTTTCTGTTTTTTTTTTTTTTTTTTGCATTAGGTTTCTGTAGTCTTTTTTTGTCCTTAACAAATGAAATTTTTGATTTTGACGTCTCTTAATGTTTCTACTATTTTTCGTTCCTTTACTTTTTGCGCAAATCTTGTATGTGAGGGTAATTTTTAATAGTTCGCTCTTTTACTAGCTTTACAGTTTATGGCGTATAGACTATGATTTCTATGCTCTTTATCACGATAAAATCTATAGTCTAAAAGCGCCTTTATTCACCAAAGATATTTTACAATTGGCCTGTTCCGGTACTGCAAGAATATGCTAGTTTTTAATATTTTGTTCGATATCATAAAGGAAAATTTGTTGACGTAGTAAAAAGTAGTAAATTCTTGTAGTACGGAACAAGCCATGGCCTATAAATAAGGTCACCAAGGGAGACCAGCTGATTATCGATACCTCTCAAGTTTGCTGTCAAAATGCTTTATTGTGAATTGACTTCCATTATGAAAACGTAAACAAAGTCGAAATTTTTGACATTAGACTTGAGAAAAAAACAGCTGTTTTCCGATTTCGATTGCTATCTTGGTGACCTTATTAATAGATCTTGGAACAGGCCAAATAATACACGTAATCAAATATCGTATTCATGAAACGAACCACAGATCCCTACATTTGTTTTCGTTGTTCCATTCAGTGAATACTTCTCCATTGAACTATTTTTGTTTAACTAGCCAGTGTGTGGTATTAATGAAATTAATTTCATATTTATTTATATATTAATAAAAAAATATATATTATGTGCATATTGGATTAGAATTATGCAAAATTTTCAAATGAATATGGATTTTCTGTTTGCCCTTTTGCCAAACTCCAATTGTAAGTTTCCTTTGCTTTGCTTTTCTTTTTGTTGGTTAACAAAACCATTTAATTGCATTTGTTTATATTTTTGTTTCGTTACAGTTGAAATGACAAATGAACAATTGATATTGTGGCAACACAATGCAATTTTCGAATGTGAATGTGATAATTTTATTAATCGCCGCATTGAAGCTGATCGCCAGGAGCGAGCAGCTAGCCGTATCTTTGAAAGTAATTACGATGAGGCCATAAATGCAGCAATACAACAGCACGGCTTAGGTAGGCGAAGGAGAAGACTAGATGATGATGACGAAGAAGACAACGATGGCCAGGATAATGACAACGATAATAATGATGATGATGCATTGAATAATGCCATAATAATACCACCACCTGCTAGAAGACCTAGAGTTAGACCATTGTATTATGAGTTCTATGAGGATGCTGTAGCCGAGGCTATAAGGGAAAGGGGTTTGGTATTGAGGGGTGTTCCATAAATGCAAATCTCAAACGATTACATTTAATTTGTTTATCTGTTTTCTTTAGATTGTCTATTACCTATTTTTTCTATTAATCGTTTTAGTATTATTACTCGATATTTCTTTTCTATATAACAAAAACATTACTACAATGGGTCATGTCTCAAGCTTTAAACAAATTTAATACAAAAATGTCACTCATTTTCGAGTGTTTTCAAAATTTCACCTTAAGGTCATTGTGCCATTCGAAATCGATCGAATAGTTCATTTCAGCATTTTATATCTATGATGATTACTCTTTATTTTTTAAGAGGTTGTTGAAGAGGTTTTATTTTAAATTTAAACTCTTTATATCAATATTGCAATAGTCTATAGGAATATTTGATGAATAATTATTAGTATATAATTGTTTAAATTAATTTTTCTTTTTTAATTTTAAATTAAACTTTAATTCATTTGAAAAATTTGATTGAAAATTTCAAAATATATAATATAAGTAAAACAAAACCTATATTTATACATATATATATGTATGCTTTTGTACCATAAGCATTTTAGCTATAGATATTAGATTTATAAACAAATAATCATAAACAAAAAACTATGTGTGATTTTTTCCAATAAAAACGCATTTTATATAGTATATTATTGTGTGTGTATAATTAATTTGTTATCGACAGGATTTTAAAAAATAGGGATTGGAAAAAATATAAGACATTTCAGAGCTGAAATATATCCATAAAAACTTGGCATTGCAATATTTCAAAGAAAGAAATCCACTAATGAAAACAATTCTCAGAATCAAAGATTTTACATAAAATATTCATATCAAAGAAAAAAAAGCTTCACGGCCGAAAAATATTCTTAGATGTTTCTAAAACAATTCCACCACGTACGAAAAATACATTAAAAAATAATTCAACAATTATTTTTTTGTAAAAAAAGTACTTAAAAATATAATAACAACACAGGGACACGAAAAAATTATTTAAAAAGTCTTAAATTTTTTTTTTAAATTCTTAAAATCTTCCACATACCATATAATATAAAAAAAATATATTAAATAAAAGAACAACGACTTCGACACATATTTTTTATAAACTTTTTATAATTTTTTTTTAAGAAATTAAGTCTATGAAAAAAAGTTTCAGAATTCACTTTTTTGAAAAGATGCTCTCAAAAATCGACATTTGTGAAAAAATATTTTTGAAAAAATCCACACTTATGGAAAAATTTGTTTTTTTTTAATAAATTCTGGTAATGTCAATTCTTATGAACAAAATATTTTTTTTTTAAATCTAGCCCTGTAGAAATAAATTAAAAATCCCTGTGTTTTAATTTTTTAAATGCAGATGGGATTTTTTTACAAATCCATGCTTGTAGAAAACAATTTTTAAAATTTTTGAATTTTTTTAATTACGCGTTACGCTTATGAAAAGAAATACTTTTTAAAAAGTCCACGCTTATGATTTTTTAATCCACGCTTATGGATTTTTTTAATCCACGCTAATGGATTTTTTTAATCCACGCTTATGATTTTTTAATCCACGCTTATGGAATTTTTTTAATCCACGCTTATGGAATTTTTTTAATCCACGCTTATGGAATTTTTTTAATCCACGCTTATTTTTTTTTTTAAATCCACGATTATGGATTAGGGACTTTGGTGCACCATTTACATAAAATCGGACGAAAATATATATGGGAGTTATATATAAATCTGAACCGATTTACACGAAACTTAGCACAAATCATTCTAGACTTTATTCAGTGCGCTATACCAAATTTCGTGAAAATCGAAAGATATATAGGGACTTTGGTGAACCATTTACATAAAATCGGATGAAATTATATATGGGAGCTATATCTAAATCTGAACCGATTTTCTTTTCAATTTCAATAGGGTTCGTCTTTGGGCCAAATAACTGACTTGTGTCAAATTTCATCCAAATCGGATTATAAATGCGACCTGTACATTGTTTACAATTTAACATCTACAGACGGAATATGTAAACGACCTCTGAAAATATTTGAATATAACCGCCATATTTGAATACAAAAAAATATATTGGGTACACTGGCAACTTCAACGACCTATGTCTTTAGAAAGTAAAAAATATACTCCATTATTATTTCTTATCCAAATCGCCTTTTGTTCGGGCCATAATTGTGGACTCTAGAGCAAACATTTGAGATATACCGATCACTTCATCACATCAGGAAAGTACGAAATTATCTTTCGTAATGAAATCGTTTTTGTATATGCCAGCCAGCCTCACCTAATAATTTGTATAGGCTAGCATTATTCTTCCTTCATATAACACTGTTAGTACTTTGAAATAAAACACACGTTTTCAAATTATTGTAGTTTTCTTTTCATATCGAAAATTCACATGTTTTTTCATTTATTTATTTTTTATTAGATTTATGTTTTTTTAATTTTGTTCCAATGAAGTGCATAAAAAATTACGAAAAATTAAATACTGTCAACACAATCGGTATATTTTTTGTTTGTTTTTAAAGTAGCTTATATCATTTGTAATGTTTATGTATATTTTTTTATATTGATTTTTTTTTCATTATTTATATGCTCGTAATTTCAACAAAAAATGCATATTATTATGTTTTTTTAATAATAACAAAATACAAGTAGAGGACTAAAATATTAATTAATTTTTTTTTTATAATTTCTGTTGATGTGGCAGGCGAGCATTAAAATCTACAAAAAATGTTACATAACAATGTATGTTATATATTTGTGTATGGTTAAAAAAAAAGAAAAAAAAATATCTTTAATAAATTCTCAATATTCATGGTGTTAAAAAAAAAAAACAAAGTTAAGGGGAGATATTTATGTTATTGATTGATGTGAAGGTGTTTAACACTACTGAAAAAAGAAATATGTAAATGTATTCTTATCATCATCATGAATGGTTACTTTTAAAAATAGCAACGAAAGTTGGTTGTTGTTTTTTTTTTCATTATTATAATTATTTTTTTCCAGATATAGTTCTGGTGAGTATAACCTAAAGCGACTTTAGGATACTAGATTTTTTTAATTATATATATTTTAAGATCATCTTTTTTTTAAATTCAAATCCATTTGTTTTTCAAATAATAATTATGGATTTGCTTTTTTGTGCTACTCCTTCCACTAATTTGCAGCATTTGCATTGTAAGTCTTAAATGTGTGTGTATGTGTGTCTTTATTAAATATATATACTTTGTTGCGAATGGAATTGATGTTTCCTTTTGTTTTTTTTTCCATAAAAATATGAAATTACATTTACCATTCATTGCAATGTGTACTGCTTTTGCAACATAAATTAAATGATTTTTTAAAATAAAGTGAAAATAAAATTCCATTGTGAATTGATTTTAAATGTGTGACTTTTTTGGTGTTTCAATTCAATTTTCTTTTGTCACAACAGTTAGCTATGTAGGTGATATTGTAGCAGTTTAAAATTATTTTGTTTTTTGGTTTGTTTGTTTTTTTTCTAAATTCAAATGAAGAACATTATAACAATTTGTTGTTGTTGTATAATTTGGAATCCCCAGATTCGAAATTGTTATAAAATTAATCGATTGCATTTCTTAGTTTTGTGTGTGTTTTTTTTTAAATTTCCAACTAACAGCTAGTGTCATACAATTGTTTATATATTTATTGATTTTTTTCTTATTTGAGGGATTGGTTTGTTAGGAGTGTTGTTGTTGTTGGTTTTTATTATGGACAAAGAGGACGTGGCGGGGTGGTGGTGGTGATAGTACAACATTGTTTGTGTCTTGCTCTTCTCTACTAACGCACAGTATTTTGATTTGTTTGATTTGCTTTTAAATTCCAAGTCTGCAAAATTGTAGTAAAAAAGAAAAGAAAAAAGAGCATATATGTATATATATAAAAATGTTCTATAAATGTTTTGCAAGGGAAATATTTGGTGGTGTTTTTGGCAGTAAACAAAAAAAAATTGAAAACTAAAAATCAATTTGAGAACTAAAAATCAATTTGAAAAGTAGTAAAGTCGGACTGGGCCGACTACATGATACCCCTCACCACTTTGGGTATATTCTACATAGTGTCCTAACAGACGTCGCCTTTTCGAACGAAAATATATATGGGAGCTCTATCTAAATCTAAAGCGATATTCACGAAACTTAGCACACATCATTATAGACTCAATTCAGTAAGCTATGTCAAATTGTATGCATATCGAATGATATTTAAGGACTATGGTGCACCATTTATACCTTAAATCGGAGGAAAATATATATGGGAGTTATATCTAAATCTTAATCGATTTCCACGAAACTTAGCACACATCCAAATTTCGTGCATATCAAAAGAAATTTAGGCATCTTGTCGCGCCATTTACCTCAAATCGGACAAAAATATATATGGGAGCTTTGTCTAAATCTAAACCGATTTTCATGAAGCTTAGCACACATCATTATAGACTCAATTCAGTAAGCTATGCCAAATTTCGTGCATATCGAAAGATAATTAGGGACCTTGGTGCACCATTTATATATATGGTAGCTATATCTAAATCTGAACCGATTTATCCCAATTTCAATAGGTTTCGTCCTTGGGCCAAATAAATGAGCTGTGCCAAATTTCATCAAAATCGGATAATAAATGCGACCTGTACTTTGTTTACAGTTTTATACCAACAGACGGACATGCAGAAAGTGATTCTATGCTTATTCTCAAAAGGAATCATGGGTCTATCTCGCTTCCTTTTTGACTGTTCCAAACATATGCACAAAAACATAATAACCTGTGACATAGCGTGGTGGAGGGTATAAAAATCATCAAATAAATTTACATTTACATAATCTACACCATAGAAGAAGTTATGGTCGGAGGACTAAAAGCATAAAAAGTCGTTAGCAAAAACTAACCCTTACGTATTTTACTAAATACATGACACTATTGGAATTTCATTGAAGAAACTTTTTAGTTGGGTACATGTAACTCAACGAAAAATTCTGTTCACACCTCTCATTTCATATAATTATTTGACACAATGGTGTAGAGTACACAAATGTAAACATATCACATAGGGGAAACAAAAAATAGATACACATTTCCATAACTAACACAACACAATGTCTCATCACATTAATAATAAGTTATTACAAATTAAACCACAATTGAATTTATTATGAACAAAAGGAGATACAAAACTAAAAAAATATATACGTATGTGTTGATAATTGATGGATTTGGCGGTTGTTGTCGCAGATCTTAAAATAAAACTTAAACATTATGTAAAGAAGAATATGATGATTTTTTTACTTTTTTATTATTTATAGATGATCTCGTTATCATTCATATCTTACATGCGTGAACCTTTCTGTTGCAGCACTTTGGCTCTATCATTTAATTCCAATTCACGGCCCAGAGTTGTACCGCATTCCTTGGAGACCACACACAGGTATTCATTATTATCAAATGCACCATAATTTAATTGATATTGTGTGCCCACACTGATTAGCTGTTCAAATCGCCAGCCATCGGATAGTGTTGAGATCATCTGAAAGGAAAAGGTATGTAAATTATTTAGTTAATTTAGTTATTATAAAATATATTATATAGAAAAGTCTCAGAAATGTTTTTGTAGGATTTGTTAAATTGGTTGGGTGGCGTAGGGGATGATGATACCAAGCAACGGCTTTGACTTTAACATGGCGATGTCCAGGCTTATTTTGGTCCCTCTTTCATCTCAATTGTGGACACTGCTCTCCCCGCGGTGCCACCTTGGGTAGCTATTTTCATCTCCCGATGAAATAGTGAGCTAATATGTGCCGCGAGTTCAGCCATAAGAACTATAAAAAATGGGTTGAGGCATCAGGTTAGTTGCCCACTCTCGGAAAACCCCACCTACTATGAAAAAGCAATGAAAAAGAAAACCAAACCCCCTAATGTTGACGAACCCCGCAAAAGCATAAAGGACCACGATCAGGGACTGGCGAAAGTAAATCAGATGATTACGCCCTGTATTATAGCTGCCATGAAACGAGACATGAATCTGACTCCGGATTTATGGTTAACAGGAGAATTAAAGACCGTGTCTCCATATTCACTCCAGTAGATGAGCGAATTGCTATAATCTATATAAACCTTCTTCTTTTACATCGGTCTCATTTGTAGATGATGAAGAAACATCAGACAACGGCATGAGGTTGATTGACTTCGCGGCAGCAAAGAACATGGTAGTTAGCAGCACCAGATTCAAGCATCTTGATATACTCAAGGCAACTTGGATTTCTCACGATCAAACAACGAGAAATCAAATCGATCATGTTGTGATAGTCGGAAGGCATTCATCCAGTGTTTTAGACGTCCTATTGATCCGAGGAGCCAATATCGATTCGGACCATTACATTGTAGCAGCCAAGGTTCGCACTCGTCTTAATGTTGCTGCAAAGGTGCGATCTATTGTAACACGGAAACTCGACGACGAAAAGCTGCAACCACAACAGATAGCAGAGGCCTATTACTCCGCTCAACCTAACCAACCTTCTTGACGAAAGCACTTCTTGTCCCGATAATAGTATAGAAGCACAATGGCAAGGAATTTCCCACTTCCTACAAACTGCAGCAAAAGCAATCCTTGGGTACCAGAGACCAATGGAGAACTTTTGGGAAAAAAGGAGAGAGGAGAAACGTATTTTCAGAAGAAAGAACATGAAAAACGTGAGCGTGAGCAAATCGAGATGTACAGGAGTCAGAATGAAGTCTGAAAATTCGACCAACGGGTAAAACACCAAACCGAAGGCTTTGGTGCAGGCACATCCTCCAGTAGAGATGAAGAAGGAAACCAGGTGACAGATACAGACAGCGTTCTGAGGATCTGGAAGGAGCATTTGGAAAAACTTCTGGTATCAAATAGTAGCGGTGAAGTGGAACCAATAATAGATGACGGTATAGAGTGTATACCATCTAGCCAAGATGAAGTCTGACTTCAATCAATCGGCTGAATAATAATAAAGCAGCAGGTGCCGATGGATTACCAGCCGGACTATTCAAGGCCGCTGATTAGTACAATTTGGCTAAAAGAATGCACGCCCAATGATTGGAACCTCAGCATCCCGTGCACAAAGAAGGATACAATACGATATGTGCAAACTATAGTGGAATAAGTCTCCTTCCCATCGCATATAAAGTGCTATCCAGCGTGCTGTGTGAACGACTGAAGGCAATGGTCAATGTCTTTATTGAACCATACCAATGCGGCTTCAGGCCTGACAAACCCACCATTGACCAGATTTTCACTCTGCGCCAGATCCTGAAAAAAAAAACGAAAAACACATCGACACATTCTAACTTTCGTCGACTATAAAGCCGCATTCGACAGCAAAATTCCTACGGCTATGCAGGATATCTTTAACTGGTACAATGTTAGCAGTTAAAGTAGGAAAGGACCTCTCGGAGCCCCTCAATACCGAACGAGGATTCAGACAAGGTGATAGTTTTCGTGTGACCTGTTCAACATCCTGCTGGAAAAGCTGCAGCGACTACGCTGTCTAGGCCATCTTGTGAGAATGGATGAAGATGCCAAAGTAATGGTTCACGCAGAAGGGGAAGGCCACGAATCCGATGGACAACTTCTCGGAAAATTAACTTTAAAATTGGATTAGATGCGCACAAGACCGACGCGCCTGGAAATCTTTTTTAAACTCGGCTTATGGAACAACAGTTCTGTCAGAAGCCAGCTATGAAAGTTTATTTTCAGTTTCGGAAAGTTCTTAGCCTAGCACAAAAAGTGCGGTATAAACATAAAAAGGTAAGTGTTTTGGAAACTTCCATCTCTGTTATAAACACATGTGAAATTTGGTTTGGACCTGGTTACTCATTTATATAGAAACAGGTGTTCAAAAATGACGCATTTTAATGCAGAGTCTGTCTTTAGCCTGCCCTACACAATTAAAGATTATGTCCAAAAGTCATTTAATTGTTATTTAAAAAAAAATCCCCTAATATTTACTTTCTGAAATTGTTGATTAAATATTGTACTCGCTCCCACTATTAATTGTTTACACTGGCATTACTAAGTCACACTAACCCCTTAACAGTTTGTGGCAACAAATTAATTGGTTATTGACCATCATGATAGTATATAGACACGTCAACATCTTCATCTACCCATAAACAACAGATATATTAAAACAAACAATATATATGTATATATAAAAGTTCAACGAACCTGTGTCAATTCTTGTTCACGGCACTGCAGTACACGATAAACACGCTTTTTATCTGTTTGTGGTCTCTGCAATAGAGGAGATAGAACAAAATGTTTAATTAATGAATGAAAAAAAGTGAAAATCTATAAACAAATGAAATTGCGAGCGGGAACTACTTACCTGATCCCTATGATGAATACATTCTTTGAGCAATGCTATCAGTTGTGTCACATTGTAAAATTCAGCCTCTTCAAGTACTCCCTCCTCTGATACGCCATCCAGGACCAATTTGCCATGACGTAAATAATTAAGGACCGGTGCAAAGTATTTGGGATCTCTGTCTATTAAATAGGCACCAGTTTCGTCCTTGAAAAGAAAACCAAGAAGAAAAGGGAAAAAACGAAATGAAACGGAAAAAGAGAGAAAACACACACAAAAAATTATGATTGACTTAGTTGAAATGTTGTCACGTTATTCAGCAAACGCAAACCATCTCCATCCAACCAACCTCCCTCCACCTCCCAGCAACTTCGTTAAAATGCTGAAAACTAGACCAACAGCAGCAACAACAAAAACACAAACAAATTTAACCTTCACCCCCAACACAACATAAAGGAGGATTGTAATGTTTGTTTTCGTTTGAATTTGTCACATACCAGCATAACCTATAACCTGCCTACCTAGTACCTACAACAGAGGAGACCTGACCAAATTTCTCTATTATACAAATGTAACATTTAAAAATTTCTCTATTATACAAATGTAGAATTTAAGAAAACACACACAAAATTAAAATGAAATTACCTCTTGCGTCCGGTTTTTGTGTTTTGTACTAAATTTTGTATTAGAAAGTCCATTCTATTAAAAACAGGTCATGTGTAGGTATTTGTTGCCACTACTTTTGTCCGAACAAAAAAAAAAAAAAAATAAACGAATAAATCAATAATAGGACATACAATTCTAATGTGTGTGTGCATAAATTTAGCAGCAAATAAACTGAGCTACTATTTTGTAACTACTTTTGGTTTATTATCAGGAAATATTCGATTACAGAAATGTGTTATTCGAATGATAACAATAACAAAAATATTTTGAAATATTATCCTGCATTACGGCGGTGGTATCACTTGCCAATTTGCGAAATGTCAACTTTTGACAAATTTTGTAAAATCACAACAAAAGTGAGAAGGAGGTGTTTGATATATTTTCCCAGAGTTTTAAAATTGTATCAGCGGTGGGGTCATTTTAAATTATCTTCAGAATTGCGGATTTTTTAAAAATTATTTTTTATACTCTTCACCACACTGTGGTACAGGGTCTTTGTGCATATGATTGTAAAAGGCAAAAGGAAACGAGATAGACCCATGGTTCCTTTTGAGAATATGCATAAAATCTCTTTCTGGGTCAATTAATGCAAGTCCGTCCGTCCGTCCATCTATTGATGTTAAATTGTAAACAAAGTACATGTCGCATTTATTATCCGATTTGGATGAAATTTGGCACAGCTCATGGCCCAAGGACGAACCCTATTGAAATTGGTAAAAATCAGTTCAGATTTAGATATAGCTCTCATGATATTTTCGTCTGATTAAATGTAAATGGTACACCAAAGTCCCAATATATCATTCGATTTGCACGAAATTTGGCACGGCGTACTGAATTGAGTCTAGACTGATGTGTGCCAAGTTTCGCGAAAATCGGTTCAGATTTAGATATAGCTCCCATATATATTTTTGTCCGATTTAAGGTACATGGTGCGCCAAAGTCCCTAAATATCGTTCGATTTTCCCGATATTTGACATAGCATACTAAATTAATTCTAGAATGATGTGTGTTAAATTTTGTGAAAATCGGTTCAGATTTAGGTATAGCTCCCATATATATTTTCGTCCGATTTATAGTAAATGGTGCGCCAAGGTCCCTAAATATCTTTCGATATGCATGAAATTTGGTATAGCGCACTAAATTAAGTCTAGAATGATGTGTGCTAAGTTTCGTGAATATCGATTTAGATTTAGATATAGCTCTAATATATATATTCTCGTCCGATTTAAGATAAATGGTGCGTCAAAATCCCTAAATATCTTTCGATATGCATGAAATTTGGTATAGCCCACTAAGTCTAGAATGATGTGTGCTAAGTTTCGTTAATATCGGTTTAGATTTAGATATAGCTCTAATATATATATTCTCGTCCGATTTAAGGTAAATGGTGCGCCAAAGTCCCTAAATATATTTCGATATTCACAAAATTTGTCATAGCTTACTGAATTGAGTCTATAATGATGTGTGCTAAGTTTCGTGAAAATCGGTTCAAATTTAGATATAGCACCCATTTATATTGCTGCACCAAAGTTCTTATATATCTTTCGTTCAATTTCATGTCAATGTTCTTCCGAAAAGGCGACGTCTGTTAGCAGACTATGTAGAACATACCCAAAGTGGTGAAGGGTATCATATTGTCGGTCCAGTCCGGCTTTACTATTTAAAGCTTGGATTTTGGTTTTAATTTTTAATACTATTTTTTAAGAAATACAAGAAGCGTAGATTTTTTAAAATATTTTCAAAGAAATTTAATAAGAGTGGATTTTTTTTAAATATTTTAAGAAACATCAGAATCTTGAATTTTTTAAAATTCGTTTTTAAGAAGTGTCAGCAGTGTGGATTTTTTTAATATTTGTTAGTATTTTTTTATTTATATTGAAAACATGGACTTTCTAAGAAATGAGGATTTTTTAAATGCTCCTTAGGAACTAAGATCATTGATCATCTCTTGCTTAGAGTTTACCATTGATGTACTTAAGGTAAATTTTAGGTCAGCGCCCATATGCTGTCACACAGAGGCTGCATATTTACAAAGCTTTTTCGTCTGGATTTCATTGTTCCTTAAAACAAATATGTATATGGATATCAAACTAAATCAACCAAATGTATTTCGAGAGCATCTGGTAAAATCTGCAATTAATTAAACTATTTAATTATAAATAGTAAATAAGAACAGAGATTGTTAGAAAAGATGAATACTACAAAACAAATTGCATTCCTCAGTGACAGATTGTTGGATTTGATGTAGTAGGTGGGGTATTTAGTATTCACACAGCATGCTCACATACATCGATGGGCCACCACAACAACGTCAAATGTATTTCGAAATTTAAATTTATGAATGCATTCGTATGAGATTGAATCGCAAGTATTTTGCAGGTTGCATTAAGAAATTCGAAGTAATAGAAATTTTGACACGGCCGTATTAAAATATGATTTTAAATTAAAGGAAAATTTCCGAAAATCGTTTATAAACAGGAATTATTCCCTCCTGTTTCGCGGTTAAGAAAATATAGGACCACCTTAAAATAGACTAGTATCTGTACGTTAGAATATATACTAAATGTTTTTAGATTTGTCTTTAAAATAATAAAAAAAAACCTACAAGTGTTATGTGTAGAGACCAAGATAATAAGAAAACGAAAATACAATATTGTAAAATAAATGCATTTTTCAGTGGCAGATTGATTTGGTATACACATTCAGTATTCACAGCATGTCCACCAACCAACATGCAGGTGGGGAATTCTATTGCGATTCTATGCATTTATGGATGTATGAGTATTAACTTGAATCTTGAACATGTGGGCAGGCATTTGCATTAGAAAGAGTAACACTTTGCCGCAGTCACATGATTAAAAGTATTTCTTTATTTTCCTATTTGTAATCATATATTTTTACAAATCTTATATCATTTTTAAATATGGTACCTTTCGATACCGCATTCACAAGGGTAAAAAAATTGAGATGGCACAGTTTCACAGGCTACCCCGAGAAACTCTGCCAACACTATTTTATTTAGCCATAATTCTATGGGCAATAGACTTGTAGGCTCAGACGGACAATTGAATAGATGGTGTGTGTCGCGAGGGCTGTGATGGCAGGAGGGACACCTATTTAGGGGACAATATGCTCTCGATACGAGTTGAGAACATTTCTGCATCCGGACCTTAGTTGTACCATTATAGAAAAGGTTTGCTTGAGAAAGAGCCTCTCACTCTCCGAAATTGCAGGAGGATGTTGAGAGTAGGACTTTGTTGCATCAACAATCATTTATGGCTTCGAAGATCGTCAGTTGATGCACGGATTTTATCGTATTCCCTATCGACAATCTGTTGACGTTCGATGGAATGACGTCTTGGATGCCATCACGGTAGCGCCTGAAGTCCTGACGGATGTGTCGCCATCAAAGTGTGATGGTTGGGATGACACGGCATATAACATGCCAGCAGATATTGTCTACTCAACAACACATTATGTTGCTTAACTGACAGCATCCTAGTCTCCTCATGTAGATGATTGGCGTTCTTCATCTGGACACAGCCGGTTGTGGAACGACCTATGGTCTAATATGACGTTACCAACGTTTCTATATCCTTGCCCCAGGAGGTGCCAGCCAAAGCTTTCAGAACTTTATTCCTAACTTTCATCTTCTGGTTGATGTAGTTAGAATGCGAGGAGAAATGAAGGAGGTTATCGAAGACCAAACCAAGGACTTTCCGATTATGGACGGTGGGGATGTGTCAAGTTCTAAATTGACTTCTCGCGTCCAGGAAGTGAAAAGTGACACAGTAGACTTTGCAGTTGAAAATTTTAGATTGCGCTCCCGGAATATGTAGGTGATGGTGGCACTTACGTCGTCAATGTTAACGCCGGGCGACATAATCGTAAAGTCATCGGCCTACGACACCACTGAGATACATGTTGAACAAAATTGGAGATAGAACACCGTCTTGCGGTATTCCAATTTTGATCTTGCGATATTTGGGTTTTTTACCACGGAACTCAAAGCCTGCTGCCCATTAAGGTAGGTAAGCCAACGCTTGATATAACTCGGAAGGGTGGAATTAGTGATGTCGGATATTAGCTCGGAATAATCGACCTCATCAAACGTTAGATTTAAGGCTGCCACACTGGTCCGTTCAGGTGGTCGTCTCTAATTGAGGTCATTCGCAATCTTAGAAGTAATTTCAGGCAAAGCGTTGTTGTTGCACTATATGTTTCCCTTAAACCGTGTTGGTGGGTAGCAAGAGCGAAATGCTGTTTCAGGGATGGAGGTAGAGATAGAGACTCTAAAAGCTTGTCTACTGGTGGTGAAAGAAGAGAAATCGGGCGGTAGGATTCCCCATTAGTAGCGAATTTATCCTGTTTTAGAATTGCAATAATCCGAAATAATTTCCAAATATCAGAAACCAACCAACTGTGACATTGATAACTCGAAAATGTTGGTTAGATAACCCAGCCCTATTACAGCAAGCTTCTTTAACATGAGCATGGATATGCCGTCTGGACCAAGGTCTTTGGATGGCTTGAATTCGGAGATAATTGCCTATATCTCGCTGGGTGTGAATGTTAGTGGCTGCAAGTCAATTTTAAGATTTTTGGATCTCCGGATAACTGCTCGTTTGGCGGCAAAACTGCAATGCACATTTTTTGCCATCAGAATGTTGGATGGATGTTATTGAAGGAAATGGCAGGGAGATTTTAATTTCTTTTGAAACAGGATAGACTTTTAATTGTAGACCCCATAGCTGCGTGATATTTATATTGCCGTGGTTAAGGTGTTGCAAACATTTAGAGAGCCTATGCTCAAGACTAGAGCATCTATTTTAGCGCTTAGCTGCGGGTTTTGTTGTTGTTGTAGCAATGGTATACATGTTTCTTGAATTTTCTAATATTCCAGTTTGGACTCCTCAATTTCCAGGTTCCGGATGGTTGCATCGGCTGCGTCCAAAAAGATTCCGGAAACAGATGAGTGGGTTTAACAGGGCAGTTAAATAGATGCAGCGTATCGTGTGGACCCTGCGTGTGGAGGGCATGTGTTTGGAACCGTGCTGTCAATTCGGGCGCAATACGAATTGAGCATACGAATTGAGGCACCCTGTCGCAGTTCTCAGGGCGGCATTCTGACAGGTTTGAATGTTCTTCCACTGCGTATCTCTTACATTCGCGAACCACACTGGTGCCGCATAGTTTACCACCAACCGACCTATTGGTTGGTAGAAGGTCAACAAGGTCTCCTTATTAGTACCCCGAGAGCTGGCGGCAAGCGACTTGAGGGCCTTGTTCCTAATTCTCATCATCATAAAAAAACTACATGTTTTTTGCGGATTTTGTTGTCAGTGGGGCTATCGGTACGAAGTTGATCGCATTGCTGTGCCAATATGTATGCCCTGAATGGATAGTTTGATCTCATTTTGCCGCTATTAGAATAGGATTGGAATATGGTCTAACCATGGTTTGCCATAAAGTATACGGAAGGATCGATGGACTGTAGAGTTCGAACACCTGGCAGTGACTCTGGTAGAGGATTCCTCATTGATGGCCGCGAAATCGGACTCGTCTATCTGGGGTTCCCTTTTTTGTCTTTCATCCCACAAAGACCATTCGATTGGACAATGAGTAAAGGACAATCAAAATACTTATAAGCGGATAAAGCAGTTTTATGGGCGGCTATTAAATATATCTGTTACAATGACAGTATCCAAAAGTCCCGAAAAATGTCTGTCCTTTATTTGATATCACTTACTAACAACTATTGCTTATAGTGTGAGTGACCAATTTCGCCGATCCCTTGCCCGTCTTTATAGGCAATTTCGACTGTTTAGTTTAAAGTACATAGTTGAATTTCTTATGTTCTACTTTAATTAATTTGTTGATGGTGGTAGTAAACAAAAGACCACAAAAAAAATATGATTCATTGTGATTACTGGCAGCAAAAAAAATTAAAAAAACAACAACAATTAAAATTAATTATTTTTTCCTGGTTTTGTTATGGCTGTGTGCATTGTTTTCATTTTTGACATAAACAATAACAACAACAGCGAGACAACTGACTGACACGGTCATTCTTATTAGTCAGTGAGGAAGGAAGATCAAATAAAAAAACAAAACGATTGATTAGATTACAATTGACAGTTAACTGACAGTAAATTAACCATTAAACATTGTTATCGGTGGTTATCTCTCTCACTCTCTCATTATCTCATTGCACACACACAGTTATTGTCAAATTAAATGGTAGGATACGATGATTTAAGGATTGCAAAAGTTATCATAATTACATTATAACTATGCCAAGGTTAGATTGTTGTCGCCTGATAAGCTTTGATTCAGGTGGTTGTTGGATATAGAGGTGGGTGGGTTTGAGAAACCTCTAATGCAAGCATTATTGAGATTTTCACGCGTTTCTCTGTGTTTTCTTTTTGTTTTGTTTTACAACTTACCCTATCGGATATTAAATCACAGTCCTCTTGTATTAATCGTGACAAGAATGAATTAGGATCTCGGGATAGTGTTGTTTTTGTTGTGAGAAAATATTGGCCACCCACATTTAGTTTCACCCACTGGTCAGTGCCTTGTTTTTTCAGAACATTTGGACTTTTGCGTGTATTAATATTAACCGTGGTCATGATTATCACTATTTACTCTGTTAATTATTAGTTTGTTTATTATTATTTGTATTATGTACACCAACTGTTAATATCAAATTAGTAACAAAACTTTTTTTATTATTGCTTTGCTTTTTGCTGGCTTGAAAATCGAAAAAAATCTTGCTGCTGCTGCCTCGACCCCGAAGAACACACAAAACACACTGCTGCTGGATGGCTGCCTGTCACCACCACCAACACAACAGAACACAACAATTATTTTCTTTTTCCTTTCGTTTTGCAAATATCTCGTGTTTGTGTTTTTATTTGTTTACAACAAATCCTTGATTATTATTTTGCCATGCACATTTTATTATTTTTTATTATTTATTTTCTTTTTTGAATGCACAGAAGGTAATAATAAAAACTATATTTCTTTAGAAATGCTTCTAAAAATGCTATTTTCTTCTTTAGTGGTTTTCTGCTTCTTCTTTTTCTACTGTCGTATACAACAAACATTCACCGCGAAATGTTAACACAGATAAGTTTATCTTTTGTGCTTGTCATTGCAGGATTTGACAATGTTGTACTACACTGTAAAAATATGAGACGATTGTCAGGTATGGAAAATTGTAGTAGAATTTGATTTTTTTTTAAATTGAAATAAATTAATTATAATAGTTATTAAACTAGATATTTACTAAATATAAACATAAAAAGAGTTTCCTTTTTAAATAATAATTACCTCTGTAATGAGTTATTGGCTACTGTTGACAGAGGAGAAATCGGGTGGAAGAATTCACATTCAGTAGTGGATTTATCTGATTTTATAAGTGGAACAAGGTAAGATCTATTAAAAAGGTCACCAAGTTAGCGAAAGTCAGCTGTTTTTCTCAAGTCTTATGTCAAAAATATGGACTTTGTTTACGTTTTTGTAATTAAAGTCTATTCACAAAAATGAATTTTGACATCAAACTTGAGAGGCAGCTGACATCCAGCTGGTGTCCCTGGATGATCTTACTTTTTTATGATATTTTTGTTTGTGGTTGTTTTTAACAATGTATTCGCGAACATTTGTTTTTCGAGTTTTTCAAAAGAATGATCTTTAGCAACAAATGATCGCGAAGGAACGAATCGACGACGCTTGCAGCGAAATTGTATCGTTCGTGAATTTTTCGTGCAATACGAACATTCGCGAGAGATTGCATATGTTTGTTCATTCATTGTAACTTTATCATTCGCGATACATTGAAAAACATTCGAATTCTCGCAGTGAGTGTATTTTAATCATTTCATGTTTTTATTTTTTTTTTCAAAAGACATTTAAATTGTAATATATTATTAATTATTAACGAAATTTGTAGAAAATATTAAAAAGATCAATCGTCCAAACAAAATAATTACTGTCGATTCACTTAAATTGGAATGATAGCATACAGTAGCAACACATCAGCTGCTGTAGATTAGGGATCTGTAGATCGAAAAAAGGGAAAAACAACCAGAGTTTGATCTACTGATGCCTAATCAACAGCAGTTGATGTGTTGCTACTGTATGCTATCATTTCAATCTGAGTGTTTCGACCGTAATTGTTTTGTTTGGACGATTGATATTTTTAATATTTTCTACAAGTTTCGTTAATAATTAATAATATATTACAAATTAAATATCTTTTGAAAAAAATAAAAACATGTCTGGCGTTTTTGCACCGGAATTTTTCTCCATTGCCCCACCATTAATGGATTTCGAACATGAACTTATTTGGTTCAATTTGACGGAGTCCTTTAATCAAAAAGTGGAATATGACAAGAGCAATCATATTAGTACCAATGCCAGGGAACTGATGGAATTGGCCTTTGTCCAACCGCTGAATTTGCAGGATCAAAAACTGTTGTTAAATGAGCTGAGTAAAAATCCATTTTTTGTTTATCAAATACGTTTGACGCCCGATAAGGTAATGGGGTAAACCCTCAACCAAAAACAAAAACTTTTAATTGTGAACATGTTTCCAATAATTTTTTTCATTACCACAGCTTCCACGTTTGGTCGAAAATAATCCTATAATTTCGATTGAAATTCTCCTAAAACTTATGAATTCATCCGAAATTACAGAATATTTTCATGTCTTGGTCAATATGGATATTACCCTGCATTCGATGGAAGTGGTAAATCGTTTAACAACATCGGTAAATTTACCAACGGAATTTTTACATTTATATATATCGAATTGTATATCGTCATGTGAAAATGTCCGTGATAAATATATGCAGTCTCGTTTGGTTCGGTTGGTGTGTGTTTTCCTGCAGAGTCTGATACGGAATAAAATTATAAATGTAAAGGTAAGGTGAAAAAAATCTTTTTGGAATGCACAGGAGAATGCCTTGATTACAACGATGTAAATATTTACTTCAAACTTCCTCCAACATGGGCCCTCAAAATTTCATTTGGCGTAGGCAACTGCATTGCCCCAAGGGGAATGTTGAGGCATATGTCGTATATATATATATATATATATATACATATATATATTTTTTTGAATACAACTTTGTAAGGCCCACATATCGTCGAAGTATAATATCATAGTTGTAACCAAACATGTCGAAGTGTTCTTGCAAAGTTTATTCATAAGATTAATAGGGAGGCGAATTCATGCCTCAGTTTTCTCTTGCTGTCAACATTGTAATCGCGAAGTACAAACCAGAATAGGATTAAAACTCAAAATGAGGACTTTGAATTCGCCTCCTTGATAACCTTATGAATAAACCCTTGGAATAAACCTTGTGTTCCTGAATATATTTTTTTCTTTCCGAATTTTAGGAACTTTTCATAGAAATTGAAACATTTTGTGTGGTATTCAATCGCATCAAGGAGGCAGTGGCATTGTATCGTTTACTCAAACATTTGGAAATGGGTGAATTACAAAATACAACCTCGTCGAGTGGTAGTGGTGGTAATAATGGTGGTGGTTCCAACACCTCCTCCTCATCGTCCTCCAATAAAAGTGAAAAGAATTCATCAAGTAAATAAATCGGCAATACAACAACAACAAAAAAGGATTTGTAATCTTGTTTTTTTATTCTTAGCCAAATAATGTTTTTAAAACTATTTTACAGTAGACTCCTCCTCGTAATAACCATCCTCCACCTAATAACCATGCTGTAACATTATCGTTTGCAATACTCTCTTAATTTGTGGACTTGTATTTAATTTCGACTTGAGACCCAACACAAATGCCACCGATAATATTTCAATGGCATGTTCCTGCAACAGTAGACACATATCCGTTAAATTATCGATGGCTGTGGCGGCCACCGAAGAATTATCATCCCTCAGACACTGGATGTAGGCATTGAGGGTACAACGATTAACATCGGTGCGTCCGGGATTGTGTTTTAAATGCCGGATTAACAATATAAAGGCATTCGAACGTATTTGAGCGCTGGAGGAGAATATCAATTCGAGAAGACGATCAAAAAGTTCACTTAGGAAATTAAAACGTTTCGAGGTGAAACTTTCAATTTCTTGTAAAGGTCCTAGGATGGTATCCTCGGCACTGGAGTGTTTGACAATTTTGATAAGATTAGCAAAATGGGGTGAAATTGCGGAGGTGGTCTTATTGAGGGAGCCGGAAATTGCAACTGTTACAGCACCGCGGGAGTTAATGTCTAAATTTGATAATTGATACGACGTTGTTGGAGAGTCTGTGGCAACATCGCCAGTGTCCATTGATGTGACCGTGGATGTACTGGCAGCACGATTTTCATTATTTGTGGCATAAGAAGATTCCTCAAAATCAAATTCCTGTTTCACATCCACACTACTATTGTTGTGCGACGATGTGGTCTTCTGCTGCAGCAGTGTAATACCCTGGACCAATTGATGTAACGACGATATGGAATTGTAACGATTTGCCAAATCCATTAGCACATCAACATATTCATGTTGTTCAATAAAACCCAAAGCCGAAGAGGGATTTACATTGATGTACGATTGCAGCAGTTCGATGAGCTTAATCAGTATGTGATAGGCTTCCTTGACATTGCTGTACTGTTGGAAAAATGTAAAATAACATTTCAAGGCTGATTGGAACTCCTCCTTGTAGATGTCATCGAAGCAGATGGGTTGCAACAGCTCCAGGGTACGCAGAATTTGTATAAAACGATGCATATGTGATACTCATCGCGTATGACACGCAAACTCAATTGGCCACGTCCCTGTATTAGGGAGGACAACACTCCCAGCTGGCGCAGAAAGAGAGCCGGGTGGGAGGCAGCAATTTTCCTTATCAACAATTCGATGTCACTTGACAGGGCCTCAAAATCTTTCTTGGTAAATAAATTACCCAGACAGGTGATGAGATTTGATGATACCTTATCCGCTTGACATCCATTGAGATTTTGTAGTCTATCCGTATACGATTCAACCTGTTGTTGGGAGCGTATAAATTTAATTGAAGGATACATTAGGTACATTTGCCTCAGGACACTGAGGCGTAACTTTTCCGGACTCTGACACTGGCACACATACTCAATGAATCGTATCAAATTGCGGGTATTTTTGTGGCAAATACGAAACAGTAAATTTATGCGGCACGACAATATAAAGGGATACTGCGATGCCGAGGTCCTGAATTCCATTTCACCCTCCTTGAGAATGAACTCGGTAAATGTCTTCAATTCCGTATCTTTCAAGTAGATGACATTATCACTTAAATCGGTTTTTAAGACGGTGCGATCACGTCCCTGCCACAATTTCGGATTGTGTATGAGAGCCTGTATGAAATTCAATACCGTTGAATAATCCAAATCCACCTCCTCTCCTCCATGCTGTTGCGTGAGCATATATTCCAAACTGGAGATGAGGGTATTCCAATTGGATTCATGGCATATCCACGAAAGCATATAGAAACGGAAATCTCCCGAACTTTGTGAGAATAGTAGGGGTAAATCTTGCTTTAGGAAATCACAACATAACTCGGGATCATGATCGGCCAAAAGATCTACCAACATACCATTACTGTAGAACTTACTGGGTTGCAGGGATTTACGATTGTTACGAAATTCCGTGAGGACTTGTTGCAGGGTGCTGCGTCGGGGTTTTATAATGCCATGGTGATCGGGTTTACTGCTCACCTCCAGAGAGTTGTTAATTAATTTCTGTAACGTCTCGGCAAATATCATCATCATGGGAGTACCACCACCCATCTGCTGTTTGCTTGCCAACGATTTATATAAGGGTAAATTGTGGCCGCAACCTAATCTTAAAATTGCCCGTAACAAGGCAACCGCTTGGCTGCCATCTAAAACATTAAAAAATAGATTTTCCAGATTTTGGTAATTTAGAATTTGTTGAGCCACACTTGTGGCGGACTGATGGCCGCCACAATCGAATAGCTGATGTAGCAGGTTGTGGAATGCATCCTTTTGATAATGTTGGGGTTTGGACCAATTTAAAACCCTGTAAAGAGTCTCCTCATTCTCAACATCCTCCTCTCCCTCATAGGGGTCTTGTTTTTCCTGCAGACTGGGCGCTTCCAATTCCTCCAAACCAATTGGCTCCAAAACATCGATTTTTATTTTCGGATTATCTTCGACGGTCTGTGAATGTGAATACAAACCCAAGGCCTGCACGGTAAAGTGACCATTTTTGGCACCCCTGGCCTGTTGGATTTCAATCAATTGCGCCAAATAAGCCTTATTGAGAATGGCATTCTTCACCGTGTCGAATTGTTCAATTACAGCATGATCCAGCAGGGCCAATAGCTTGGACATTGAATTAATGGGTGTACCAAAATTCTGCACAAACAGAACTATTTGATCGGGTGTTAGCTCTCGTATTGCCGCCTCTATTAACCTATCCACCGAAGACCGAATCATTTTCAATTTCAACCAATCGGGTAAGAGTTGAACCGGTTCCTGTGGCATATTCGGTATATAGGCAATGGGGACATTACCATCCACGGGAAACCAATAGTCGAGAATTGGTACCGACTCCGGCATTTGATTACTGCTATGCGTTAGCAGAATAATAAAGGCATGAATTATATTCAAATGCAAGGGCAACTGGACGCCATCATTAAATTGTACCATTAACAGGTCGGGATATTCATTCCATTGGTAGGTTTCATGATGATCCCGCAATTTGATGATGTAATTGTTGAACATAACGAACAGGCATTTCAGGGTCTGCAAACGATTCTCCTCATCCATGCGGGTTTGTTCATCATATACCATCAAGGGTGGCTCATTAGTTCCGCCACCATCATTCAGGGGTATAATGTGCTGGAACATGGTGCTACGTTCTACAATCAACTGAGCCATATCGATGACATGATCCAACATATCGGTCACCGAATCATCAAGGGTATTGGCGGCAATAAATTGTATATAGGCCATTACCAAATCCGGGCAATTTTCCACCTGACATGCCGATCTCAGTTGAGGTATAATAAACACGCGAACCTCATTGAAATGTGGTATTTGCGGTATGGAACTCAGCAGCCAATCATTCCCAGACATATCGGAACTTTTGAAAATAATCTTGAGACCCCTTAAAGCAGAAACCCTTGTCGATTTTACCGTCGAACACAAACGACGAAATATATAATCCAAAATTTCACAGGTTTGTTTACTATATGCCGGATCCATGATGACATTACGCAGGAAATTTACCAATTCCGCATCACGGCTATTCTCTTCATTGATTACACTGGCATTGAAAAGTAAAAATTCACAGAGGCATTGTACGGGCAGATGATTAAAATCGCCATCACTATTTTGCACCAAATCCGATAACCAAGGCATTGATTGTGATGTACCCTGACGTTGTATGATATCCAATAGGAGATCAGGTTTACGACTGCGACACAGTAGGTGACCAATTTTAAGGAGTTTATTTAGTGACCGCAATTGTTCCAGAACACCGGCGGGAAGTCGTCGAGCCACACCCATTGGGTCCATTAGCATGAGTTGAGAGGTTAATATGGCATTCTCCTCGGTGATCACGGCTTGAGATGTCTGGGCGGCCAAATACGATTCGAACTCAACAATGTGATCACGTTCCATGGGTATAATCTGAGGGAGGGGAGAAAAATAAGATGAAGAAAAAACAGTTAGTAAATTTCAAAGGTAGGACGGACTCGACTATATGATACTCTTAACCACCCACTTTGGGTATATACAAGAGAAGAGATTGAGTTTGGTGCACCATTCACAAAAAATTGGCTGAACATATATTTGGGAGCTATATTCAAATCTGAAACGATTTCGATAAAACTTCGCATACATAAACCTAAAATCGGATATGGAGCTATGTCAAAATCTAAACGGATTTCGACAATAATTTACACACACCATTATACGCACAGTACGGTGTGGTATTCCAAATTTTGTCTCAATCGTACGTATTTTGGGTGTTTGGTGCCCCATTTACCTAAAATCGGACATGAATATATATGGCAGCTCTATCTAAATCTGAACCGATTTCTATAAAACTTTGCACATATCATTTTAGACCCAATTCAGTACTCTGTGAAAATTTTGTCTCAATCGAATATATCTTGGAAGTTTCGTGCACCATTCATCGGTCGAAAATATATTTGGCAGCTATATCTAAATCTGAAACGACTTCAACGAGACTTAACACACAATATTCTAGACTCAATTCAATAGGCTATGCTAAATTCCATCTTAATAGGACGAAAATATATATGGGAGCTATATCAAAATCTGAACCGATTTCTATAAAACTATGTACACATCATTTTAGACTCCATTCTGTACGTGTTGCAAAATTTTGTCTCAATCGAACATATTTTGGGAGTTTGGTGCACTATTTATCTGAAATCGGAACTTTCCAACCCGAAAAAATGCATTCACTCACCTGTAACTCCTCCTTGGTCATTGCCGATTCATTAAATTGATTGGTTATACACATTTCCATTAGCATTTTCATTGTCGGGTAGTGATTCCAACAGAATGCACCAAATGTCGATGGATTATGGGCGGATATCATCAACATTATCAACCATGCCTTCCAATATAGAACAGTTATGGCCAATTTCGGTGGTTCATAGTCCACCGGTAAATTAATATTTTCCGGATGATGATATTCCGCCATATTGAAAAGGAAATCAATAATATCGAATTTATTTGCCTGTACCACCGGGCAGGTGGTGATGCGCATTGTTGAGGCACGTTTTATCAACGAGATGATAATGTCAAATGTATCCGGTATGGTAAAGGGTATCTCCTTGGTAATACCAATCAATATAATGCGAATAAGGGTATCTTCATGGATTGGCGTCTCCGAAACCAAACGCAGCAATGTGGTCCTTTCCGGTTCCGATGGCCATTGATCATATCTGGAATATTGTTCAGCATTATCAAGCAGCAGCATTTTGTGCAGGCCATTAAAATATTCGGTGCCCTGCAGCTTGAGAGCTGGGACAATTTCATACATCCATGAGACACAATCCAATTGGATCTGACACATTTGATTGTAGAATTTCAGGAGTATGGCATTGTTGGCGGCATTATCTTTGGTCACGCGCAGCGAAATGCTTGCCTCGCGGACTTGTGGTGATACGGACAACAACATGCAGAGACAAGCAATATCAACCATTGAATGGAATATACGATCTCTGAATTCGGAATTTTCAATTTGTTTATTCAGTTCGGGACGGCCATTTAGGAATACTTTACAGAATACTACCAGATTGATGTCATTGCGTAGCATTCGCACCAATTCGCGTAGAAATACGCGAAGTGTCCGTAGGCAATCTTCACGTTGTAGTAAAAATTCTTTGTAGATTTCGGCCAAACATTTGGCCGACTCGTCGGGAGCGGTTTGGAACATTGTGGCTAAGGGGAGGTGAAGAAGAAGAAGAAGACGAAAGAGATTATTAGCATAAAAAATTACAGGCAATTTGGTTGAAAAAAAAATGCTTAAAATCTCTATAAGTACGGAATATTGGGATGTACCATAATAAGGGGGGTTACACCAAAACGTGGACCGATATATCCCATTTGCAATACCAAACATCCTAGTTGTACTAGCAACCTCTGTTTAAAATTTCATAGATCTGTCTTAAATAGTGATTTCAACAGACGGACCTGCGTAAATCGGCATCGAATTTTATTCCGATCATGAATATCTGGGCGTAACTTAAGTTAAATTTTTGAAAAAAATTTCCAAAGTTAGGTATTATTACCCTTATTATAGGGATATATTTTTATCTTAGGGGGAGGTACCCGTTTGTTTAGCCCGTAAGCTTGAGTTTGGATATCCGGTGGGTGCAGGTTATAAAAATGGAATAACACCGTAAGACTTATCCCTAACTTTCGACTTACCCAACATTCCCATATTATTGGGATTTCTGGTATTTGACAATTCATTTTGTACGACCAATTTCAGAACGACATTTAAAATTCCTGGCTCCAGGCGGATCATTTCCTTAATGCAGGCCATATAGAAGTTGATTAATGGCTTCGCTTTCAGACGCATTTTAACCAATATCGCCAGAACTTCATGATCTTTTGCATGCTTTGCACGGACATTGAAGCAAATATACGACAACAGTTCCTGGGCAAATTTCACCAATTTGCCATTGTGGATCCATAACTCCAGCCGTGATATACACAAATGACGTACCTCAACTAGGCCTGAGGTGATGCATAGGAATTTCAGGAAATTCCTTGTATAACATTCCTGCTGTTGACGTTTATTCAACTGTTCCTTTATGGCCTCAGTTACATATTTCTCCACAATCCTCTCCGAGTCTACATAACGATTTTTGGCATCGAAATAGGTGTCACCTGCGGCGGGTTTAAATTCAGATGGCTTTGCCGAACCACTTGCTTCCGAATTATCACACGAATCATCATCGACATTTATCGACAATGATGCCGGTTGATTGCCCGGGGTGGGTGTAGGTGTCATTGTTGGTGTACCGGCACCAGATGCACCACCACCTCCACCGCCGCTACCATCAGATTGCATGAAAGTAAGTTGTGGCTGTCGGGTTTTGAAAGCCGCCGCAATGTTCCTTATGAACGGGGCACACAAACTATTATCCGACCAGAAACGATCATTTATCGCATCGTCAATATAGATACGCATAAAAATCTCCGGCCACTGTTTTTTGTCGCTGTAGACACGCATCAACAAGTTGCATGCCAGTACATGCGAATACGAACTCTGTCGCATTTTCAAATTGAAATCTCTACGCAAAATATGCAACAGGCCCGATGTTATGATGTCGTTATTAAAATAATCCGGATGCACCTTGGCCAAATACATAATACTCAGCATGGCAATCATGTCCGGCTTGGACTTGGCATAGGATGATATTATATTTTTAATGCATCCGCAAATCAGGCGCACCAATGTCTCCGAGTCATGTTGTTCGGCAGCGGTTTGTATGGTTTCGATAATATCCACCGAATCACAGTCGGTGGCCATTTGTTCCCACAGCTCATTGGAGGGTGCCGAAATTCCACCACTAACACCGCTTCCGCCACCACCACTGCTGCCCTCTGCCGCTCCGGAACGTACCGAAGATGATAGTTTTGGCTTTTTGGTGGCCAGCAACGACGCAGAGGTACCGGCCGAGTCTCGTTTACGATCCACAGCTGTGGAGGAACTTGACTTGCTAATCGGCAGCTTGGCCTTACTCTCTCCATCTCGACTGTATCCCTTTGAGCCGAGGGCAAAAAATTCACTTCCCGCATGAGATGAGACTTTCTTGGGGGCCCGCGATGAGGATATTGGTACTTTATTACGATCCATAGTAAACGCGGGGAGAAATTCGATTAGTCTGGAGAAATAAGAATTTCCCCAAAAATTATTAAAAAATAAAATAAAAACTTTTTATTTCTTTTCACTCAAAAAAACCAGAGTCTGTGTACTGTTCCTTCTGGTTTCAATGCCGACGGCATATTTAAAATCGCCGTCGTGTCTTAAAATTTCGTCGGCGTTAGTGAATTGGAAGAAATAGGTTTAAAACGTAACTGAGAAAGCAGAATCAAAACAAAAAGGCGTTAGGCCTTCATACAACAATAACAGCTGTTTACATTTTTTGTTTATGTTTCTTTCTTTACGTTGTCAGTGGCCGTGTTTACACAAACTAGTAGTTCTGCGCTCAACAACAATATCAGCTGTCCATTCAGCGACTGAAGAATTAACAGTCGAATTGAAAAACGTTCCATTTGCCAACGAATAGAAGAGAAGACAAAATGACTGATCGATAAAGAATAACTCAAAGTAGTATGACGCGAAATATTTACGAATAAGGTGGAATGGAGAGTGCATGAGAATCGCATTGTTGTTCTGGATCAGTGTTGTCAACTATACAGGTATTTTGGCGTTTTGATGGCTGAATGTTTGTTTTGATCAGCTGTTTCAACAGTTTTGCAATTTATGCGGGATATATAACATTTAGGCGATTTTATTTATGACATTTATGGAGTTTATAAGCGCAAATAATTAATAGGTATATTATAAAGGGTATTTGGTAGGAATATGAGAGAACCAGAGTCTGTGTTTTCGTTGTTCGCAACCACTACAAATTGAAAAACGAACGTTTTTCGCTTGCCAACGAATGGAAGAGAAGACAAAATGACTGATAAAGATGAACTTAAAGTAGTATAACGCGAAATATTTACGAATGAGGTGGGATGGAGAGTGCATGAGAACCGCATTGTTGTTCAGGATCAGTGTTGTCAACTAAACAAGTATTTTGGCGTTTTGATGGTTGAGTGTTGTTTTGATCAGCTGTTTCAAGAGTGTTGCATTTAAGCGATTTTATATATAATTATTATATGGATCCATATTATATCATTATTATTTTTTTAATTACAACATTGATAATCTTTTTAAGAATATAAAATTGAATTCATTTTAATTTTAAATTAAAATATTTTATTTTTCATACTGATATTTATTAAAAAATAACAAAAAGGATTTGGAATACAATACACATGGAATTGGAATACATACATACAGACTAGTACAGTGACATACGCCAACCTCAACCTATTGGCTATTGGCCACCAATAACTATTTCACCTTTTCACTATTACTGTCACTAGCAACTGTTGCAGCAACAGCTGCTGTATCATCTGCCTCTTTAGCTGTCGATGGATTCTTATTTTTCTTTTTAAGTTTTTTCATTATTTTACCCATGAAGGAGCGTGGCTCCTCGGCATCTTGTTGTTCAACAACTATCTTCTTAGTGGCCACACTGTGGATGGGGCCAAAGGCCAGGGCAACCACGGTACAAGCCAAACAAATGACATTATAGGGCATACTAAAATCGGGTGTGGGCAGGGACAATATCAATGATTCGGTACGCAATGTCAGAATATATGAATTTCGGGTGGCATTAAAGGAATCGCAAAAACGATATCCACTTAATGGTATGGATGTGTAATTGCGTGCCATTGGCAGTGTTGTGGTTATTACACTCGACCCGACATAATGACCATGATTTGCATCGGGGGGATATTCCAACCATTTGAGAAAAATATAATCGAAATCTAAAGATATTTCCACGGACGATTTACTGGGTATTTTAAATGCCAATTCCAAATAGTAGGGCCGGGTACGTTGTACCCCTGGACGATATTGCAGGGTCTTCGCTGGTATGACCTCTCCGGTTTTGTGATTTTTAATCTGCAAGGTGTGTATGTAGACCGGCATATACCAAGGGATATTCTCTTGCAGCACTATGGGCAAATCACTGTAATAGTTGTTGGTTATTTGTGTTATAATTTTACCCTTTTCCTGGCCATAACCCACAATGTTGCGATGGGCCAAGAGGGGTGGTGGTGCCGGGGTCAACACCTGACTCGGTGGTTTTCTTAATATCCAAGCAATGTTGAATAATTTGTTGTCCTTTAATTTTTGTATATCATAAACACCATAGCGCGAGGTTTGCCCACCCCGTGTCGAGGTTATATTGTAATGGGGTAGCGGTGTCATTTCATAGGGTAATGGCAATTCCAGATTTACGTATACTTTGCTACTCTCAGCCAGGGCACAGTGGCCATTGAGGCCCTGTCCAAACATGCGACGCAATGAGAAATCCAAATTATTATTGGACCCCAACAGCTTTGGATCATATACCATATTGGCGGACTCGGTAAATTCCAATATACACTCCTGTTGGCCGTTACACAATGTGCGGAACTTAATACCTAATGAATGATAATTGGTATTGTGAACATGTCCAGAATTCAGTAACGAAGCAAATCCATGACGGCTGTTGCAGGGTAGTAACTTTTTCCATGGTGTTAAATTCTCGGTGCAGACAATTTCCCGTGGCAAACTTGAATAGCGTACATGCTGGGTGTTTTGGGTTTTCTGTGATGGTGCAGCACTCACAAATTGTGGTCTAAAACCATACTGAGGTGTAATGGTATTGGTTTTATCCATGAAATTCAATGAGGCACAAATTATGCCGGAAAATGTGCTTGTCACACGTTTCCATTGTTCATCGACTTTGGTCTCAGTGAGATTTTCCCCGGCAAACCATGACCAAGCTTCGGCACCGGGTGCGGCATCCTGTACGGGATAACCCCAGGATTCATAGCGCCACATACCTTGGGTTAGGGTGATGTGAAATTCCTTAACATCGGAATAAAGTAGAATTTCAGCAATTGGGCGGGGTATCAAACGGGTGTTGTGCACTAAGAAGATGAAGATAATAGAATAATGACAAACACATCCACCTACTTATATATGACAAACTTACAATTTTCTTTATTTCCATATCTCCATCTTGTGGTAAATTGAAAATAGGTATTAACAAAACCATTCGCCAGCGGATGCACCACCAATTCTTCGTGGTATTCTTCATTGGCCACCAAATGCTCTTTGGCTTTGTTGTTGTTGTTGATTGATGCTGTTGTTGTGGTTGAGGTTACCGGCGTTTGTGGTTTATTTCCAGGCAAATTGTCGACCGTTTTATCCAATACAACTTGGGAATAAGTCTTCGAAGACAATGCTAATAATATTAACAGGATACAACATGTTGGAAAAGGATTTGTCATGTTTTTTTCCTGGTATTTACTGCATTGAAGGAAGGATGTGCTGAGGGTACTTTGTATTAGATGACTGAAATGAACCTACCTAATTTAAAAACGTTCCACACGCCGTTAGTAGAAGGAGACGTTAGAGAATGGCCGAATAAAAACTAACAATCTAAACACAACCAGAAAGTCAGGAGTCAGCGGCATTTTTTTTTCGACGGCGTGAAAACCAAACGAAACTATTTGCAATGCTCTTCCAAATTTCTTCCATTTTGATTGTGTTTTTGTAATCAACCCTCAATTAATTTTTCTTCTATTTTATAATAAATTCGTTAAAATTAATAAGGTAACCCAGCTAAAAAAAGTCAGCTATTCTGAAGTCTAATGTCAAAAATTAGAACTTTAAGGGCCCCATACACTATACATCATGCCGTACAGCATTTATCATAGTATGTGTTATTTTTTGAAAGTTTATTTATGTATGTGTGAGACACACAATGCATGAAGAAAATCAAAATAGTTTTGATTTTGAAAATGAACCCCTATCAATCTGGTGAATAATATTCATTTTGAAAGTTGTCAGTAAATTGTGTACAACAATAATAAAACTGTGACGGAATAAAAAACAACTTAATTTACGACTCAAATGCAATTTTTGGGACAAAAATCGATTTTTTGGAATAGTGATTGAAGAGTTTGCCATACACTAGTCAATCTCACATATACAAAAAGGGGTTCATCGGCATGACAGCATGATTTATAGTGTATGGGGCCCTTTAGAACTTGGATATTAAAATTCTGGGTACCTCGTCCTGTGGACATGGAAGAATGTCAATCAGCCTACAAGTTCCGAGAAAGGATCATGGTTTTTAATACGTTTACAATATATGGGGCAGTTGAATGAAGGATATATCAAGCTGCTATCACACGAGCCATTAATGTTATATGTTCTGTCAAATTTTACACATGTGAATACTGTACATGTTTCCTTCCTTTATAAATTTCTGCATTGAAAAAGTATGTGCTGAGATACTTTGTATTATAGTACATTTACACTGTATCGGATCTATTAAATCCAGTAGATCTAAATTGTCAATTCCATTACATATATGTCAAATAAATCCTCATAGATGTGGTTAACTCGGAAAAAAGTGTTGATGTAAATGCTGATTTAGTCGTCTAAAATGAGCATACCCAATTTATAAAGCTATTGTCACACGAGTCATCAATGTCATATATACTGTCAAAATTGTTCTATTTGGTATGCACAGCAAAACTGACAGCACATTTGGCATTGATGGCCTGTGTAACACACTCTTTATTCTAACAAATATCAGCTGATTGATATTTAGCTCATGATTAAATGTATGTATAACCCGTTAGGGCGTATTTCTGGATTTTGTTAATCGTAATATATTTTTAATTAAACGGCATATACATTAGAACTTTTTACGGGGTTAACCCACTCTATGAGGATTTATTTGACATATATGCAAAGGAATTGGCAATTGAAACCCACTGGGTTAACGAAATCCGGTTAAATGTAAACGTAGCCTATCCCATTTTTCCTTTTTTCTTGTTCGTTTACTAATTTCACCATTAACTATACGAATGACATCATATGTTCAACATATCAAAAAATGTGAACATCCCTTATATGAGACTACAGCTGAATAAATGTGTATGTGCCGTTGAAAATACAACACTGCGTGCGTGTGTGAACAAATAAATTTGCTGAATTGACTGAAAGAAAATATGAATGGTAGGAATGGACACATTTTTCTTTTATAGAACTTCGAGGCTCTTTAGTATTTCGTAAACAATAAAAGTATTTGTGTCGTCTGGGTGGTGGTATACATGGTGGTTGATATAACCGAAAAAAGGCATGCAATTGATGAACATCAACCCTACAATGAAATTCAGGAAACCAACGATAACAAAAAGAAAAATATTTTTACAAAGGAAAGAAAATTTGAGGGCCCCAATTCTTGTTCTCTGGAAATCTAAAATGAAGGAAAAATATTGTATGAGAAAAAAGTGTTGTAAATTTTTTAAGAAACAAAGAAACGGGAATCTAAATGTTTCGATAATAATTATTCCAATAGTCGTATTTGTGAGGGGGTTTTGAAATAATATTAGATTTTATTTATTTGGGGTTTTTGTTTTATTTTACATTAACTACTAAAGCAATTACGCCAATCTTCCCTTATCATACATCATGTTACTTTTGCTTTCATCCACTTTTTGTGTAACAATTCAGCAACCGTACGTTATTGAGCAGCTCTAATAGGGTTCTGTAGGTTGAATGTTTCTTTTTAATTTCATAATTTTTTGTTTTTCTATGTTATATAAAAATGTGAAGTTAAAAAAACTAAATTTTACATTTCTAAATTTTACATTTCTATTTTTTATACGAGTCTTGTTAGAATTCGTATCGAAAAGTAAAAAAATCGGTTTCTTAAAAAATTTGGTCAAATAAAACTGTCTGTACATTGGAACTTTTTATCTGGCCAACCTTCATTATGAGCCCTTTCCTTTTGAAATATACAATATTAAATTAACAATTTAAACCCACTTTGATAACGCAAATCACGCAAGTTTGCTGTCGAAATCCATTATTGTGAATTGACTTTCATTATAAAAACGCAAACAAAGTCCAAAATCTTGACATTAGGCATGAGAAAACCAGCTCACTTTCGCTAGCTGGGTGACCTTATTAATAGATCTTGTATAATTTTTTTCGTTATAAATTATTTGTTTTTATTTTATTTTTTTATAAAATATTTTATTTCAACTTTTGAGAATTTGGAATGGAATACCCTAATTTTGGGTTTTTACTACTTATTTTTCTTTTATCTAACATTAAATATTTATAGAACAATAAACGAAATATTTAGAAATGAAAATTATTAATAATTTTCCCCATTTCCACATATTTTATTCAAAGAAAATACAAAAAAATGTATTCCTTTATCAATATCATCTTTTCACCCAGCTGTTTCTTACTCGAACTAGTGTACCCTAACTAACTACCCAACTGCCCAATTCAGCATACTACCATTGCCATACAACCCTGCGCATTTGCGCTGATTTGCTGAAAAAGAAATCATACATCAGTTCAATCGCATACATTTAAATGGCTTGTGCACTTGCGACCGACGTTGTTCGTTGTCGTTCGTTGCCATCGTAAGTTGTTGTGTCCGCTGAAAAAATTTTCTTCATCAATTGTTTTTTTCTTGATTAAAAAAAGAAAAATTATATTAACCAAAAAATACACTTGAGCGCAAGAGAGCAGCAACAAATAAAGAGAGAGAGCGAGAGCTCGAGAAGACACATTGTTGAGAGAAAGAGAGCAAATTAAAGAAAAAAGTTGGATCTTTGCAACAAAAAAATTTGAAATGCAATTAAAAAAAGAAAATTATGAATAATTAAAAAAATGAATTAAGAAAATTACTATTTTCACGATTTTGTTAAATTGAAAAAAATAAATAAATTTGCACACACACACACAACAATTTAGGAGAGCACACGCATAGGGGCAGCAGCAACAGCAAATCGTAGAAGAAAAAATAAAAAAATCAATTTTTTTTTATTAACTAAAAATAATGACAAGTGTTTTTCTATGATTTTTCATTTTTGATTTTATAAAATAAAATTGAAATAAATTTTTTTAGAATTTCATGATTTTTTTCTTGTGTTTTTGTTTTTTTTTAATTTTTAAAAAAACATCTGAAGAATTCACTTAAAATTTAATTTTTTCCTTCATTACGGAACGTATGAATAATAACAATAAAAAAGAAGAAGCAGCAGCAAGTCAAAAAAAAGAAAAATTTGTGTTTTTTTTTCGTTCGTTTCGTTTTTCGAATCGCGGCGTATATTTTTGCTGGTGCCTGCCTGCCTGTGCTTGCTTGCTTTTGTGTCTTCGCACGGTCGCGGTCCGCTGAGGCAAAAATTTCAACTGTCGAACAAAGTAAACGCTCGTTTTGTTCGTTGCTCGTTAATGTTATCGAGTATTTACTCTCGTATGAAACGGTAAAAACAAGAACAACAAAAGCCGATTTGCTGAAACGAATAGCATGGCTGTGAGTGGCTGTGTGTGTGTGTGCATGCGCGTTTATGTATGTGTTTGTGTAATAAAGAAGAAAAAATAAACGAAATGAAAAAAAAACCTGACTGCCGCCACATGAGAGAGAGAAAGAGCGAATAAATAATGCAAGAGTGTCCAAAAAATATATGCATGAGTTTGCAAGTGAGAGAAAGTGTGCGAGTGCAAACAAAAAAAAAAAAAGCTGTGAGCGGGAGAAATTTCAAAGCCAACTGACCAGTGTGTTTTCTTTTCATGATTTGAAATTTAAAAAAAATAATATTACTTATCATTTAGCACTCTCTCTGTGGCGGTGTCTCGTCGTCGTCGTCCTCGTCTTTTTCTACATCGTTGTTGATTGATGATGGGGAAGAGTTGTGTGTTTAATTTATGTCTGTCTTTACGAAATGTACTGCTATTTTTTCAATTTTTTTTCACATTCATTTTTTTATAATTAGCAACAACACATAATAAAGAAAATAACAAAAAAGTTTAAACAACACAAAGCAAAAAAGAAAACATAAAAAAGAGAGAATCAAAAATAAATTGTAAGACAAAAACTCTTCTTGAAGAAAGAAAGAAAAAAGGCGTTGGATTTCTATATTCAAGAGTGTTCAAGAAACCAAAAAAAGGAAATTGCAGTTCAGCAAACAGAAAAAAACTGGGCGCTGAGGTTTTTGCGAAACAAAAAACAGCAGGCCAGACACACACCGAGAAAGAAAATACCCTAGCCGTATTTTGTTGTCAAAGAAAAAAGGTGACTTAATTTCTTTTTTTTTCGTTTCCTTCCTACTTTTCTTTTTTTCAACTTCTTAGTTTGTTTAATTTGTTATATTTTAATATTTAGGTTATGTGGTGTTTCTCATAATATAGTTATTATCACAACAAGACAGCCAGCCAACCAGTCCCCTCCCTTGGTAGCCATAAATATTTCATTTACTTCCCCTTTCTTACAACATCAGCTGAGAGCAGAATAACACCAAAAAAACCTCTCTTAGTTGTCAAAAAATGTCTGTCTCTCATTTCTTCTTTTTTTCTGGGATTATTAATTTTTGTTTATATTTTATACATAAAAATATCTGCTGCCTCTTGTTCTTTTATTTTTTTATTTTCATATCGGATCTTTTAATTTTCTTTTTGATTTCCTTTTCTTTAAGTGAAAATAACATTAAAGAATTGCACTGGCCTTCTTCCTCTTCTTCTTCTTGTTTTCTTCCATTGTTCTCATTTCTAAATAATTGTTGTGCTGTGTGTGCGCTCATTTCCCTGCCTTGTTTTGTACTGTTGTGCTGTGTTGTGGTTGTTGTCATTTGCTATTGTTGTAACAATGTAGTGGTCGTGTTGTCGGCTCTGTCTCTGTCGGCTGTCGTTGTTGTCATCGGCTGTGTGTAGTTGGTACTCTCTACTACGGCTCTAGTACTCATTTGCCATATAGACGTCATTTGGTCGTCAACTGCCGTTTGCTTGCCTGCCTGCCGCTAGTCATACGGCTGTGTTATAGATGATCAGTGAGGCGTTCGTGCGTGTGTGTGTATTTTTATTTGGTGGGGTAGAAACGATGTGCTGTGAGCGATGTCGTCTTTTTTTCATATTGTTTTTTTTTTTTTATTATTGGATTGGAAAATTGGCGTTGCATTTTTCTCCTCCGTCTGTCTGTCCGTCCATAATATACAGATTTCTAGACTATTTCTTAATTTATTCTATTGCAAAATGCCAATTTATTTCTGGGGGTTAATTTTTTTCTAGATTGTTTTTTTTAAGAGATTTTAGAAAAATCTACTTGATTTCCACACACACACACATCATTTATTTATTTTCTATTTATGATGTAAGAAGAAGATTTGTGTGAATGATGGTGTGGTGATGTAATTTAGAATAACAAAAAAATTCCTTATCGTTTAAATGTGTTACAGAGTGTGGGGTGAAGAGGGGGAGAGAGGAGATTACATGGCATTAATATTATTTTTTTTTCTTTTTGAAAAAATAAGTGAAATTTATTTTGTGCCCCTTTTTTAATTTCCTTATCGATTGAGAGGGGTTTCTCCACCCCCTTGCCTTGTCGACTGTATGCAATTCAAGGATTTTTGTTTGTTTTTGAAGTTTTTTGTCTCTACATGCAACTAATGATGATGATGATGTGATACATCATGAATTATTTTGCATTTTTAATTAAACTCAATTACAAAATTGTTGGGACGCCACTAATTGCCCAGACTGCCTCCCTTCCTGCAATATTTACTATTTCATTTCCCTTTAAGGCAGACAGCAGGCAATCAGTCAGTCAGTAACAATGTCAGCAACCACACACATACACACAAACAACAACAAACAGTAGTTCAAATATCAATGATAATTATTTTTAATCCATAAATTTCTCATGGCTGTTTCTTTTTAGAATTGATAGGGTTGCCAAGTAATTTATAAATTACATTTTTTCTGGGATCTAGAGGACTTGTTATATTTGGTCATATTAATGGGTTGACCTAATAAATTATATTAAACGTTGTTATCAATGGACACACGCCATAATCAAAGGATTACCATGATTGTGCGTTGAAGAGGGATCTATAGATCGTTTTTTGCAATTAATTGGAAATTAAATTGTTTCTATTAAAACTACAAATAAATGCACGTTTAGACCAGGTTCGGCCGGGGTTTTATCTGATGCGGGGTTTTGCTTGATGCCAGTTTCGACCACGCCTTCTAAATCAAGGAATAAAATCCTAAATGTTTTAAAATAATATAAATTGACAATCAGCTGTTATTTGTTTACGTATACATACACGTTTAAGGATGTTAATAATTTCTATGGCAATTTTTTCCCTAATGCTAATAGAAGGAATTCATCTACATTAGGCCAAATACTGTATAAAATCGTTAAAAATTTAAAAAATATATAAATTTACATAACATTTTGAAAATTTAACATATTTTAAAGCGTAAAACGATGTCATTTTAGTAATTATGGCAGAAAGTGGTAATTTTTTGGTATAAAATCAGGATTGTATTTAAAATTATCTCGATATATAGCATAGAATTTCGAGCAATTCGTCGAAATAGTCGCAAGGCGTTAAGTATCGGTTGTTAATTGAGAGATAGTACGACCGGGAACCCCAGATGCAGAGTTCTCACTGACATCAGATTTTTTTCCGATATTCTCTAACTATGTTTTGTCGATTACTTTCCGAATAATCTGCAAATACTCTGAAGGGAAATTTAATTTGTATATTTTGTGTGTGTACAAAATTTATTTATTATTTAATTTATGAATTTGCCTCATCGACCATATCTATTTTTTAATACATTTTTTCCAACTCTATTTTTTTCGATTTAAAATATTTTAAGTTATAAAAATTAATTTTCCTTATCGACAGTATTTATATTTTCATATAAATTTTTTCAACAATCATCCTCTATTTTTTCGATTTAAAATATTCTTTTGTCTTGTTATTAATAATAGTAATTCCTCAATACGAGATCATTTACAACCCTTTCCATATTTTTTCTTTAATTTTTGCTTAAAAAAAAACAAGATTTTTCTTTGCGCTTAATTGACATTTAATTTGGAAGTATTTAAACAACCCCATCCCTGTCATCATATGATAGTGCAAATTTCTAAAGGCAACTGTACTCTCTAATATGTTATGTTATATTAGTTACCATTTCTCCATTTCTGGTCAATTACACCTCATTTTAAGTTATAGATTTATATTTTCAAATAATTTGTTTTTATCAATCTCCATTTTTTGTTCATATTTAAAATATTCGTCTGTCTCATTATTAATTAAATATTAATTTCCAATTACCGGATCATTTATACCCCCTTTTCATATTTATTTTCCTTAATTTTTGTTTAAAAATTTGATTTTTCTTCCCTCGTAATTAAAATATGATGTAAATGACATTTAATTTTCAAGTGTTTAAACAACCCCATCTCTGGCTATCAATTACACCCCTTTTATGTTCTCACATTAATCCTCAATTGATGTCATGTGTCATATGATGATGCATGCCATCATATGGGGTAATGCAAATGTCTTAATGGCAACTCTACTCTCTCTCACATGCAATGCAATATTATTTCTCTTCATTATTCATGATATTTTTGTTCTTATTTATTTCCCTATAAAGCAAAATAAAACGTAAAAATTTGTAAAAGAAAAACAAATGTAAATAAGAACATAAAAAACTCATTTTATCTCTCTGTTTCCATTAATTAACTGCGTTTTTGCACTTAACTCCTTGTCTGTGATGAGGTCAATGAGAGAGAGCGCAGCGCAAAGAGTGGTGTTGTGAGTACATATTGCAAAAACAATAATACATAATACAAAAATAAACATGCTTGCCTGCCTGCCCCCCTGGCGATGGTAGGGTTATAAAGGTTAGACAAATTACAGCGAGACTTTGTCAATTGTGTTGTTGGACTTTGAAGGTAGTGATGTGTATGTGTGTGTGAGGCTCTGCTGTCTGTTGTTGTTTATTACAAGGAAAATGTTTATGACGTCACAATGAAAAAAAATCCAATTCCATTTAAGGATAACCCCCACCAATCAATGTCAATGCAGTTGCATTTTTTTTTTTTTTTGAAATTTTTGTTGAGTCACAATGACTCACAAAAGTAATGAGTTGCAATATATTTTTTTATAAACAAACAAAAATTCCAAGCTTCTTCCTCGGTCAGCCATATCATTCACATTTTCTTCCTATGACGACTAGAAGAAACCAGTTTTATCATGTTTTTTTCTTCTTCGATCCCTTTGTAGCTCTTTTATCATGAAATTCTTTACGAGTCATTCAATTAGTAATACGATGTCTCGCAAAAAAAAATAAACATTAAAAATTAACGAAACTAAATAAACTAAGGCGATTTAAAATATTTCATTGACATTTCTCCGCCTCCTCCTACATATAAATATTTTTTTTGCCTGTTTCTTCAAGTAAAAGTAATGTGACGACAGACAATGAAACCCCAGTCAGCCAGCAGAAGAGTAGAGTTTAAGTAGACATCAACGGACATAAGGAAAGCAAAAAAAAACAAAAACAAAAAGAGGGCAATCGTCAGTCGCAACAACAACAAATCACCAAAACAAAAGAATTTTTTCAATGATGTTCGCCGATGTCTTTCCTCGTTGTCGTAGTTGTTGTGTTTGTATTTTTTTTATTGTATCATCACCAACACCAAGCACATCGCGTCCGTTCGTCGTCGTGTTGTGTGTGCTTGAACAAAGGTTGTTGTTTTTGTTTGCTTCCTCTACTGCTGCTGCTTCTTCTTCATATTGGTCACCCTTGTTGTCGTCTTCTCTATGTAATGAATACTAACAAACAACAACAAAAACAAAACAACGAACAAACGACGAAATACCAAATCAAATGGCGGCGACCACGCCGTTTTTCTGTTCGTTTGCCATCGTTCACAGGCCAGGCTTTTTTGTTCGTTGACAATTCTCTGTGTAGAGAACGGCTGGCATAGCAGCCAAAGACTAAAAATTATAACCGTTCGTTTGCTCAGCGCAACATGGCAAAATCAGAAAAAGCAATGTGTGTATGTGTGTGTGCTACAACGATGGGGATGAACAAAACATGCACACAACCAATCATGCCATGCAAAACAATGCCGCTGTACCATATGAAAACAGTGATGTCAATTTACTCACTTTGTAAAGTAAAATTAGCGTTTTTTTAATTTGAGTGGGGTTAATTAATTTTAAATTTAAAATTAAAATATTTTTTTTACAATGCATTTTTTAAGGACATCTATTAAAGAAGATATTATCATTGATGAAAATTATTGCAAAGGGTGAAATTTTTAAAAATATTTCAATGACAAGTGTAAGATTTAAAATATTTTCCCGATGGTCAATTACAAACGTGGATTTTTTAAATACATTATTAAAATCCTTTTAAAGAGCATTTAGCGTTTTTTTTCATATGAATAGGATTAATTAATTAATTTGTACTAAAATATTTTTTTACAATGTGGTGAATATTTCACGGCTATTGAATTAATTACATTGTATGCGGGGCCTACACATGACAAAACATGAAAGCACCAAATGATGTAAATTTTTTCCGAGGATAAAACTGCCACACTGACTCTGGAAGAAACAATTTTTTAAATGTCAAGCGTAGATTTTTTAATTTTTTTCAACACTCTTTAAAACCCAGTTTTTAAAAATTGAAATAATACATGAAAATCTATAGCTTCTTAAGTTCAAATTAAAAATCCTCTAATTTTTTTTTAAAATAATACAAACGATTTAAAAATCCGAATTTTTCTAAAAAAAAACCAAGTCTCCTCGGCATTAAACGT